AAAATGATAATAAGAGGAAATTATAAAAATCATACGGTTTTTTATTTTAACAGAATTAGAAATTTATAAATTCATAAATATATTAACACGAAACTTCAACGTACGAATACATAGATATACATATATATAAATAATTAGCAAGATTGATTACGAGATGCAAAATTTAAAAACAAATTTAACAGAAAACGCTTTACGTTTTCGGATGCGTTTTAAGTCGCTTGAAGATTTCAAGTTTCCCGATCACTGAAAGTTTGACATTCACACGCACACATACAGTTTTCATTTTAAATATTCTTACATCTAGGAATTTAATTTTATCGCACAGTAATCGCGTTTTATTCAACTAATGAGCAATATGGACATTCAAACTTTACTGATATGAGCAAAGTTACGTAAAGTAGGCGCTAACATTTGTATAATTGGACGGACTACAGAGTATAGTGAATTGATAAAATATAAACTGAATATTATACTTCAGGCCGTACAAAGCTGACTTCAACTTTACGAATAATAGACAAAAAAAAATAAAAAAAATTTTTCTTTTGTCCATTATTAAATAAAAAATTATATTTTAAACAAAAAATTTTTAAAATATTGATTTATATTATATTAATAAATAAAATCTTTGATATCGTTAATTAGTGATTTTATACATATACACAAATATATATAATCTAAGCCCTTTGTTAACATTAATTGTTAAAGAAATTCTATAGTTATTTGGAGATGAAAGAATCTATATATCGAAATTATATTTAATTCTTAAAAATTGAAATTGTACATTTCTTATGATCCAGAAGAAAAAAATTCAAATATATAATCAAATTTAAAAATAAATGTAATTATATATATATATATATTACATTTCTTATGTGATCCAGAAAAAAAAATTCAAATATAATCAAATTCAAAAATATATGTAACTATTTCTTAAAATGTAATTTTTTCTTAAAAATTCTTAAAATTGAAATTGTACATTTCTTATGATCCAGAAGAAAAAATTCAAATATAATCAAATTTAAAAATATATGTAATTATATATATATATATATATATATATATATATATATATAAAAATGTACAATTTCATTTTTTAAGAATTTTTAAGAAAAATTGTTTATATACATGTATATATATAATAACGTGCATAAAAATTTATGTATGAAAATTATATATATATATATATAATTTTCATACATAAATTTTTATGCGTTATTATATATATACATATATATAAACAATTTTTCTCACTTCTTGAAATTTTACTTTTTCTAAAGAACGTATATAAACATATTTTATTATATAATTATTTATATTTATAAATATATTTATAATTATTTATATATTTAATTCTATATAATTACTCTATTAAAATTATTTTTGAATTTATTTTATTCATATATTCTAAGAAAAAATTGTTAACGTATAATCATATAAATATATATAATTATATAGTATAAAATATTTCATATATAATTATGTAATATATAATTATATATAAATATATAATTTATATGCTTTTTTCTTTTATGAATCCTATTGCTTGTTTATACATGTAAATAATAAAAATTTTTGCATAGCTTTTTTTAGGGAAAACCGTATATAATATTCCATATATAATTATATTTGATAATATACATATATATGGATAATTATTTTTTCGTATAAATAATTATTATATCTGTCGAATACTGCGATGAAATAATATAATAATATTAGTAGTAATAGCCTAAAAGTCTTATAAATTATGACTTGAACATTTTGATATTAAAATTATTATCTCCAAATGACTTCAGGAATCTGCCATACTAGACAGTATAAAAGATTATATTCTCTGTGTTTTTTTCACTTAACATTTGATATTCTTTCGAATTTTGGAATTTTTTATTATTACTTTATTAAAATAAAAACTTAAAATAATTTTCACAGGGCTGGGTAAGTTAATTTTTTTTCTTAACTAAGTTAAGTTAACTGCCTTGAAAATTTAACTTAGTTAAGATATAAGTTAAACCATAATAAAATTAATAGAATTAAAAGTTAAGTTAATGATAAAAAGTAATTAAAAAGTTAAAAATTAAAATGTTTCAAAATTACCCGAATCAAAATCTTTTTCATTCGACATAGACGAATCAGAGTCATCAACAATGTAAACACTTATTGCATCTTTTCACAAATCTCAGAGACTCGCGATCACATAAATTGCATTGAATTTCAGGACCCGCATTTGGTGTAAAGAGAGCTCAAATAAGAGATTGGATACGCTGGCAGCAGCAAATTATTTCGTATAGAGCATAGCTCGACGTTAGCGCATCTACTGATAAAATGTAACTAAATTAAATTAAAAGTTAAGAGTTTAAAAATGTAATTAGTAATTAAGTTAAGTTAAAATTATTTAACTTTTTAACTTAACTTTTATCTTTGTAACTATACACTACCCAACCCTGAATTTCCATGTTTCGATAAAAAAAAGTAAGATAACAAAATATAGATTATAGTATTATATGCCTTAGTAATTTAAAATTATCAATTTAGTGATTTTTCCTATATATTTTATAATTTATAAAAGTTCGAAATATATAAAGATTTTACCAAATTTTTTATTTCAGATGTTTTATTTCTATATTTAACGAAGATGTTGATTTTACTGTGTGGTGAAAATAATATTTTTTCACATCATTTTATTATGACGTTTATGAAGAGGAATATCTTGAAAAATCATAATAAATATAACGATGTAAAAAATATTTGTTACGCCACGACGAAGCATTCAACATTTTCTTAAATAAAAAATGAAAAACCTTAAATATTTTGCAAAACCTTTATTCTTTTTCGAACTCTTATTAAACAACAAATGGTTTTTTGTCTGTTATAATGGTTTTGTAATTCATCCAATGTACGTAATTATAATAATTAATAAAATTTATGAACAAATGATTCATTAATCATTAATGAAATCCAATCCTATTCATAAGTAAAATTTGCAATCACATTAATTATTTATAGCTCCTTATAAAATTTGACAATTTCACAAATGTTAGCGCATGCTATTATTATACTTACAGAATTAACAATTAATTCTTATTTAATTGGACACTATCATGCTGACAAAGTTATGATAAAGTCGCAGATATTAAATCGTTATATGACAGAGATAAAATTCTTATTATTTTTATTTATTGAAGTTTTGAAGCAAGTGTTGTTTTCGCTTCATTATTTTTTCTTGTTGATATATAGATACGCGTAAAAATAAATTCAAAGTCAATTAAGTAATAACAAAAAATATGCGACACTGATGAATATTTCAGTGAAAGCATTTACAATTTTAAAAAGTTACAATTTTATACAATATAATACAAATGTACATATATTACAAACTATATATAAATTAATAAAAAGTGACTATAATATATTAAAACTTCAATGCATCACGAGCGCAGATCGAGCTTCATATTATCACTATATCTCTGCTGTTTCTATAATTTAAGATTTCTGGCTCCTCAGCAACTATGTTGGAATTGTGACGTCAGAAGTGAGAAAACACACGCTAAAAATTCTAAGATGCCATTTTGAAAGTTTGAGGAATTTCAAAAGTGTGCTAAAGATCTGAAATATTTTTTGATTTCAAAATTGCATCTAAAAATTTTCAGGGTGTGCTTTCTCGTCTTTGATGTCACAATCTGACATGGCCGACTTAGCGAAGACCCAGGAGCCTTAAGTATGCAAGATGCTTCCGCGGCGATAATGTTTGATTTTGCTACTTATATGTATAACTTTTGACCATGTACATACGTGAGAACATTGATTAACAGTTTTATAAGCAGACACGCAGTTACAGAGTTATACTTATATGCGAATGTATGAGCGCCAACTGTACATTTCTCTTTTTTGTAAGATGTGTTTATCCTTAAGCTCGCTTTAGATATTTATAATTTGTGACAGAATTCTCTATTTACGACTACATTTACAAACTTTCTTCTCTAATCTGGTTTATTAACGTCTGGAAAATATTTCACATTAATGTTACAATAACTGATACTTAACGTAATTCGATATTTTAAAAATTAATAGTTGTAAAATGTTACTGAAGACCAGATGCGACCAGTGGAAAAGTATAAATGTATTAATTCCTTTTATATATCATGTAATACTGAATTAGAATGTATACATAGAAGGTACTTATTATAATAAAAACAGTTGTATTTTATAACTAAATATATCCAGCGTAAAATTATAAATTTGTTTAAAATAGTGTCACAAATTATAAGCTATCCGATATTACGGACATAAATATATAGAAACGAATCATATACGTGAAAATTATTGTAAATAATAATATTTTATTTATTAACTCGCATTTTTAACCGTGTTTACACAAACACGCACATACATACGCATACCAAGTGCAAAAATATATTTCATAGAATAAAAAAATTATATATATACATATAATATTTCTTGCACTTGGATGCAATAAACTACATGACATACAAATAGATAAATAAAATATATTAATTTACGGGTTTACATTCGTTTTTTTGTTAGTGAATATATCGCTTTGTAATCTCACAATTGTGCGCAACGGAATCATCTTGTATATCATATATAACCATTGCAACAAAATAGTGTCATATATTCTCTTCTTTTTCCTCACGCCTCTCTCTCTCTCTCTCTCTCTCTCTCTCTCTAAAAATAAACGCTTTATTCCGTACATGAGATATTACATATATGCGATCCATCGAATACTATATTAATTATATATAATATATATATTATATAATTATATATAATATATATTATTATATTATATATAATATATATGATATTATATAATAATATATAATATTTAATATATTATGTATACATACATATATATATATATCATATATATATATATACATATATATATATATATATATATATATATATATATATATATTACATAACATTATATATACACATGTATTATATTATATAATACTATATATTATATATATGTATGTGTGCTAATATTATTGAGATATAAATGTAAATGAGATCGTGTTAATACTGTAGCTCGAAGCATAAAATCACTCCAATCATCTAATCATTAAAGAACAACTTTTACACAGTTTTGTAGTTTAAAGTTAGTAATATTATTTTAAGTTTTTTTTTAGTAGTTTGGACAATTAAAATAACGTATCTTTCATCTGTGCATATTTGTTTGAAGGTTCTTTTTGTATCCAGTATATTTCGTATGATAAACATATATATTTTATGGAAATAGAGAATAAAACCTCTCGGAAATATATATTCAGTATTTTAATCGCTTTCAGGTATTTATTTTTTTGACGGAAGCCTATAGGTTTGAATATAGAAATCCCATAAAGCTATGAATCATTCAAAACATCTGTGATCTTTTTTCTTCTTCTCTTTTATCTTGCTTTTTTCCATTTTCCTTATTTCTTCCTATCTTCGCTTTTGATTAGTCTCTTATCTCTCATGTGATTATTAGCGTCTCATAGCTATTCAATTTATTTAAATCCCTGCAAGGATAATTTATCTCTTATTTCTCTCATTTGATTAACACACAGGTAATTAATAAAAATTCCCAGCTGCATATACTTCATCCTTTCAATTCATTTAGGAAATGCGGAACTAATTGTTCTTCTTCTCCCTTCCCGATCCTGTACCGCTTTCGTGAGTACCTGGATAACCCGAACTCTCGCCGAACTCGGTTTTGTATTTTTTGAGTACTTTTTTACCGTCTTGATGATGGTGAGCTTCGGCGCCACCTTTGCCAATACCTTTTTGCTCGACGGCAAACGACTTGTGTGACCCAGAAGTGGACTTTTCACTGGTCGATCCGTGTCTCTGATCCAAGTTCTTCTGCAGATTCGCGACAATACCGGTTGCTTGCTGCGGAATGCTCGATTGGCCGACATTCTCCTCCTTTTTGTTATGTTGGGACATTTTGATGCCACTGGCAGCTTTGCTCTGACGTTCGTTGATACTCTGAACCTTTTCGGATTGACTGCTGCTAGCACAGCTCGACTGCTTCTCGTTCTTCTCCGTCGAGCCGCCTAGCTCCTTCAAGGTCAGGTAGTCGTCGCTCTTGGTGCCGGTCGGCGAGTCCTTCTCCTCAGCGATTCGCGGTAATTGGGTGCCACCGCAGGAATTCGACATGCCTACGTTCCCCAGATTGATGGATATACCATGGGTCAGCTTGGAATAATCCGCCTTCTGCTCGCTTGACGCCACCTTCTTTTCGCTTCCCTTCTTCTCGCTCTCGTTCGCCTCCTTAAAACCATCGCCGGACTCGTCCGAGACGGCATCGCCGCTGTTGTGGGACGACGATTGCGCGATAGTCACCCGCGGCGTTACTTTCACTACCGTGTTTGCCAATGGCGATATCGACGTCTTGTTCTCCGCCGAGCGAGGGTGAAGCCGATCGGGACTGAGCGCGCGTCGGAGCAACGGCGAGCCGGGTTCGGCGGACTTCGGACGACCATATCCTTTCTTCTGGCTATTCGGCGTTGACAAGCATGCCCCTGAACAGAGGACGGAATTTAAAATCGTTTAAAAACATATACAGAAAAATGTTAAATACAAAAGTTGTAGGGCTTGAAATACTTGATGGTATGACCTTGATTTAGACCTAGGAGTCAAATTAGAGATCATTTCAAGGTCAACTTAATTTTTTTAAATGTAATCTCCTTTTTCATTGCGTATTCTTGTAGTTTATCTCAAGAGCTTTCCAAAACCCTATAATAAAGAGTTTTTCATGAAGTACTTTTTAAATTATAAAGGTTTGAAGTTACAATTTTTTGACCTAAAATGTAAATTTATATATATATATATATATATATATATATATATATCTTGTAAAATATTCAGTTTTTGATAATCTTACCTTAATATTTTATGCACGGAATAATGAGATCAAATAATTATTTTTAAAAAGTATGTAATTTGCAACAATGCAACTATGTACTTTTTTTTAAAAGCAACTATGTGTTTTCTTTATACTTAATTGATTGGTCTCATTATTCCGTACATAAAAGTATTAAGGTGATTAACGAGAACTGAATATTTTACATTTTATATAAAAAAATTGTCAACTTCAAACCTTAATAATTCAAAAAGTACTAAAGAGAGAAAAATACGTTATAGTGTTTTGGAAAACTCTCGAGACAAGGTACAAGAATGTGATGAAAATAGTAGGTTCCATTTAAGAAATTGAATGTGACCTTTACACAATCTTCAAATGATTATACAAGATCAAATTAATGACACCATTTTATGTCCCTTCGACTAGGATAATTAAAATGAATCACCTTGTATATATTCGACGAAATCACAAACGTAGTTATTAAGGATCTTGGCTCCTCACCGACCATGTTGATTGTGATGAGGCGAGATATTTTAAAAGTGTGTTAAAGCCATCTGAAGTAGTGTTTCATCAAAATATCTTTTCATTTAAAAATGATATCTAAGAATTTTTAGCGTATGACGTCACAATCTAACATGACTGCGGCCAGAGGATGACCCAGGAGTCTTAATATTATATTATATCAGGGTATCAGTTTTTTTTTATTAAAAAGTATACTTAAATATATAAAAAAAACATTGCATTTTAGATCAATATTTGGAACAAGAATTTTTTAGTCTTAAGAGACAAAAGACATTAATAATAAAACCTTTTTCAAGGTCATTTAAGAAACCATCCTCCCCCCCCCCCCTCTCTCTCTCTCTCTCTCTCTCTCTCTCTCTCTCTCTCTCTCTCTCTCTCTCTCTCTCTCTCTCTCTCTCTCTCTCTCTCTCTCTCTCTCTCTCTCTCTCCTTCTTCTTTTTTTTTTTTAAGTCGATTCTTCCTTATATTTGGCATAAAAAGTTACATAGATAAGATGGATAAAAAGTAAATAGTTTACGAGATATTTTGCAGTTTATGTAAAATTATACTACATTAAAGTACAAAACATCTCGCAAACTATTCACTTTTAGTCATCTTACTTTTATAATTTTTTATATTATATAATATTGCGAGGAAAACATTTATATAAAAAATTAGTAGTTCCATTAAAAAAATTTAGATTGAAATGATCTTGAAAAATTATCTTAAAATAACTGAAAAATTAAATCTTAATATAGTTAAAATTCAAGATTATATCAACTATCAATGTTTTTCCCTTCAAAACCAAATAACTTCCGAAACTTTCTAAACTGTACGTTCTTTATTATATTTTATTGTATTTTTATATATTTAAGCAATTTTAAAACAAAACACCCTGTATATCTTTATTTAACTTTGATAGTCATAAAATGCATCCGTGAAATTTAATGATTCACAATTTTACATTATACATGTTTAATCTGCATTTAAATACTTACTACTCACGTATAAATAACGTGAATCAAGCAAAAAATAAATAAAACTCATCCATATGCAAATGCCACAAAAAGAAATATATGTATAACAAAGTGATTCTCGTAATTTACATAATCGCTACGATATACTCCAAATACAAATTAAATTGAAATTAAATAATTTAAAAAAAATTAATAAAATAAAAATAAAAATATAAAAATAAATACTAATAAAATTTAAATAAATTTATTTTTATATACTTTTTTCGACATACCTGGACTATACGACTGCGTAGTGTTGGAGCTACCGGGTTGATGACCCGTGGGGAACGCCAGAGGACTTGGGCTTCTCGTCGGACTGGCAGGGATCGGTGATGGACTCGGCGTTCTGGCCAACGGCGACAACGGAATGTGGCCCACGGATTTCCTGCGATTTGGCGAATGGATATTCTTAGGGGTCGTGTGCAGCTTGTGCTTGAGTCCATGAAGCGTGCTGGGACGCTGATAGTGCGATTGATTCGAGATGCCCGACAGATTGCCGGCGGACGTGTTGGAACCCGGAGACGACGAGGAGTTCGGGCTGGAGCAGGGACTGGTGCTGTTCCCGGTCGAGTGATAAGAGTCCGAGTTGATGCGACTCGTCGGCGGGGACGGGCTGCAGACGGATTTGGAGCACGTGGCGAAGTACGGCGATGTCTCTTGCGAGCGAGTAAACGACTGGAACGACCGGCTGGGAGTCACCATCGAGGGTGAGCAGATACCCGCGGCCATCTGCGAAGAGAAATCTCGATAAGGCGCTCCCGATTGATGCGCAGAAAAATTCTCAGAGGTTTCCTCTCATTACCCTTTTTTTGCCAATCAACGAATCAGTAAAATCTGTCCTGACGTACCAATAATAGTGACAATTTTATATTATTGCCTATTGTTAACAACTGGCAATTATACAGAGTGTTTTAAATAATGCTTTAATATATTTCAAAAACCAAGGTTTCCATTCCAGAGCGGGACATAAGATAATGCCATAAGTTGGTTTGACCTTGAATAATTGTTTTGTGAAAGTCACATAAAGATTATTTTCAATTTATTAAATAGACCTCTATTTTTCAATGCATATTCTTGTAGCTTATCTCGAAAGCTTTTCAAAACACTATAATAAAGTATTTTTACATTAAGTACTTTTAAGTTATAAGATTTGACATAAATTATTAACTTTAAACTATATAACTCAAAAGTACTTCATAAATAAACATTTTTTTATGTTTTGAAAAGCTCTCGAGATAAGCTACAAGAATATGTAATGAAAAATAGGGGTTTTCATTTAAACTTTTTAAGTTGACCTTTAAATGACCTCCAAATTTGACCTCTAGGTCAAAGTCGAGGTCACTCTCACATGTTCTCAAAATCTTACAACACTTTTGTATGGAACATTTTTTAATAGAAACCTTGATTTTTGAAATATATTAATGCACTATTTAAAATGAGACACCCTGTACATGTAAAGTCTTGTAAAACATAATAACGATAATTAATTTGCGAAGTGTTGAAATAGCCATTCTGAAGCAACTATATAATCGCAGAAGAAGACAGATGTTGTTAACAAAATGACGCAACAAAAGAACAGATATATCAGCAAGGAGAATCTGAAAGCTGAACAAATGTATAAAAAATCATACCATAAGTGGAGGTTTGCTGTCGCTGGACAAAATGGGTGCTGACAATGGACAACTGATAGTTAACGGCTGCAAAAAAAATGCACTTAACGTAATTGGTGTATTGTGTGTTGCGCGTTGCATGTGTGTGTGTTATGCTAACATATATATAATGCTAGTGTGCTTTAAAACTTATTTGCCTTTTGTTTAACAATACCACCGTGTAGAGAATAAACATATTTGGTGCACGCATCTTGCTGTGCATAATTAATATCGACGATATAGATATAAAATAAAATATATTGAGCTCATTAACAGAATGTCCCATAATTAATATAGTTTAATATTGCTGAAGCTCATTTTTCTATTTTATATAATACTTTTTATGCACTTAATAATGAGAGGCATTAATTGATATAAAGAAAACACATAGTTCAGATAGCATACGTCATTTTGACCTACAATGACATCAGTATACTACTTATTTTTAAGAAAAACATGTAATTTACAATTAGCAACTCCATATTTTTTATCTCTACATATGATATTTTGTGTATAAAAATTATTAAGGCAATCATCGAAAAATAAATATTTTACAAGATATTTTATAGTTTACGTCAAATTATGTCGCATTAAAGTACTAACTATCTCAAACTATTGATTATTTGATATTCTACTCTCTCTGTGCCAAATATATTGCAAAAAATCAATTTATATAAAAAAAGAAATTAGGTTAACCTTTATTGACCTTAAAAAATGACGACCTCCGTTAGAATTAAAGATTATTAATTCTTTTTCTCCTTGAAACTTTTAACTTTTGTATGAAATATTTTCTCATTACAGTCCTAGTTTCAGCAATATTCGATTATACATATATATTAATTAAAATAGAACACCATGTATATCTATATATGATAAATTGCGAAACGATAAGATCGTATTTAGCATCTATTTAGCTGTAAACGAGAAAAATACAAATACTATTTCTCCCAGTGGTGTACCTGCTGCATCTCTACGCTCGCGCGTTTTGAGCTTATTCTTTTGAAAAGCGACGTTTTCCGCTTCTTGTCCGAGTGGTCCCGCTTCTGCTTCCGCTGTTTGTGCAACGTCCGGCGCGCTAGTTTACTATGTGCGAGATCGCGTCTTCTGCCGCCAGTTTTGATACTCGTGTTCTCCAGGGGTGTACTGCGTAGAGTTACGTGATCACCGCCGCTTAACATCAGCTGCAGAACCTGAGTGTGATACAAGCCCTGCACCGGCTCGCCATTTATGTGCGTTATCAGATCGCCCGGTCTCAAGCCAGCTTCGAACGCCGGGCTGGATTGTTCGACTTCCTGTACGAAGAAGTAATAATGAACAATTGAAGATCAAATATTTAGGGAGAGAAATAAAAATTATATTGGAATTGTAAAAATGTCAAATTGTTTGTAACTTGCCATTACTAGATGATGCATAGTGTAGAAGTCACTGTCGCCGTAATATACCCTGATAGTGTGCACGGTAAAACCGAAGCCACACGGGCCTCGACGAATGATAATAGGCGGCTTTAGGCTGGTCACGAGAGGACTCAGCTCGCGACACGGAGAGGTATCCCTCGAAGACGCAGTCGATGATCCACCGGGTGACTCGATAGGTTGAGCGTTTAGCGATGGGTCGTCTAAAAAATCGAATTTTATTATATATGTATTATTATTATACAGGGTGTTTCCGGATTAAATAGCCAAACTTAAAATACGAATTTAGAACCTCAAAACAAACAAATATTTTATCTGGAAGTTTGCTCGCAAACGCTTCCTTGAAGAGATATTGACTTTTAAAATTTTGAACTATTGAGTATATAAATTCCTAAATTCGTATTTTAAGTTTGGCTATTTAATCCAGAAATACCCTGTATATATGTATCTTACGAGGAATCGATTTATGTAAAAAATGATGGTTCCATTTGAAAAAAACAAATGATCTTTAAATGACCTTGAAAACCAAAGAAAAAGTTAGTAGCGCTAATTCCTCCCCCCCTCAAAATCCTACAACTTTTATTTGAAACTTTTTTCTCTAAACTAATATTTTTGAAGATAAAAATTTGTAACGCTTTATTTTGTCCACCTTATATGTGTATATATAGTGTGTAATATATATACAGGGTGTCCGGTAATGGTCGCCTCAACCGTCGTGTGCAGGTAGAGTAAGTTAAACCGAATAAGAAAGTCCTCTACCGTTTTGCGATTTTCGCAATAATTATTGTGTTATTAAATAAAAAAGATCGGCCAATCTAAGCGCGCGACGAGATGAGACGGTCCCCTGTCACACGATACACGGCGCGCGGCAAAGCGGAGGGAGGAGCGAACGCGATGGCTACGAACGGCGCGTAACGCTAAAGCTCCGCGACAACTATTTTCTCTCTTTCCCTTTTCATCTCACTTTCTTTACTAAAAACGAATCTTTTTATTTTCAAAATGGCATCTTGATTAATTATTGTAAGTACAGTTTTGAAAAATTAATAATCGCATTGACATCATTTTCGACGATGTATCTCATTAAAATTTAACATGCATACAAAGCAAATAAGAGTCTGATGCAAATCACACCATACACGGAGAGAATTTTCTCTTATTAGAATTTATCCTGAAAATCATGGTAATCGTGGGATAATATGGTGTAGGAAAATATTATAAGAGTTTTTTTGATTAATATTTACTACATTAAAAATTATTAATATGAACATAGTAAAATTAATCGAGTACATTTTTTATTTTATTGTGGTAGATATTATATTTTTATTGTGGTAAATATTAATCAGAAAAATTCTTATAAAATTCTTCCAGTACCTTACTGTCCCACGATTACCATGATTTTCAGGGTAAATTTTAGAGAAAATTTTTTATGTGTAGTATTCGGATACGTTTTATCAAAATTTACGTTTTAAAATAATCAATAAATGATAATAACGAGAGAGAGAGAGAGAGAGAGAGAGAGAGAGAGAGTGAGGAACGTTATTATCATAAATGATAACGTTCCTCACTCACTCACTCACTCTCTCTTCTCTCTCTCTCCCTCTCTCATTATTATCATTTATTGATTATTTTAAAAACGTAAAATTTGATAGGATGTATTCGAATACTACACAGAGAAAATTTTTTCTTAAAATTTACTCTAAAAATGATGGTAATCGTGGGACAATGGTATTGAAAGAATTTTATAAGAATTTTTCTGATTAATATTTACTATAATAAAAATATTATAGAAAGAAAGTGAGATGAAAGGGAAAGAGAGAAAATGTTGTCGCGGAGCTTTAGCGTTACGCGCCGTTCGTAGCCATCGCGTTCGCTCCTCCCTCCGCTTTGCCGCGCGCCGTGTATCGTGTGACAGGGGCCGTCTCATCTCGTCGCGCGCTTAGATTGGCCGATCTTTTTTATTTAATACACAATAATTATTGCGAAATCGCAAAACGGTAGAGGACTTTCCTATTCGGTTTAACTTACTCTACCTGCACACGACGGTTGAGGCGACATTACCGGACACCCTGTATATATATATATATTTTTTTTTTTTTTGAGAAATACATACAGGTAAAGTCACTAGTCGGAATCACTAATGACAGTCCACTCGTCGAGGCGGATTTTATGACGGACCGAGACTTTTGTCGAACAGATGGTAACATGGATATGGTGTTGAGAGACTCGAAAGAATCAGTACTGGAATTATGCTGCTCTCCTCTACTGCATCTTTATTTGCCGCTGCAAGATCCAACCTGAGAGAGAAATTATTTTTTAAATTATTTTTTTAATTATTAATCAAATATGATACTTGCATTGTCTATCAAATTAAATGAATCATGAATATATAAATGGGCCTAGATTTATATATACATTTATGTATTTATACACACATATATGTGTATAAAACTATCCCCCGTAGTAGATATCGTATGACCTTGAAAATTACTCTTTAGGACGATTTTCAAAATCATACGATAGCATAATTTACCTAAGTAGCAAACTGACGTCATTAGATGTCAAAATGACGTCATTTTGACGTCGAATCACGTCAGTCTGTTACCTGGGTATATCACTATCAGGTAGCAAATATATGTCATTTTGACGTCGAATGACGTCAGTAAACGTCAAAATGACGTGATTTTGACATTTAATGACGTTAGTTTGCTACTTAGGTAAATTATGCATCAAAATATATGCATGATTTCAGACCTAATTACAAAATGTTTGTAAATTAAAGACACACGCGAGAATAAAAATTGTGTATGGGAGTTGAAAATTGAACAGAAGACAGTAAAATACATTATATAATAATTATATGCGAGAAAATGTGTGGCGGAATGACTCACATGTATTCATCATCAATGGATATACTGAACCTGGGCAGCTTGTCACGTGAGTGTGTGTGTCGCTTCCTTTGGATTTGAGGACTGATGTCCTCGGACTCGGTTTGCGAGGAGTCGGGCGTGCTCAAGTTGATGGACGCCGCTCCTTCCGGGGCGCCCTTGACAATCGTAAGCTGGGACTCGTTGCTCGACGAGATCGCGGTGCTGGGGGTCGTGCAGGACGACGAAGCTGCTACGTTCGATCTGTCGGTTCTCTGACTCTCGGCGTAAGAGTTGCTCTTCACCGACAGCAGGGGTGGCCGATGATGCTTCTCGGACGACGATTGCGAGGACGATTGAGGCTCGGCCAGTTTGGACAACGGAAGTGCGGCGGACGTTGCGCCCGATCCGAAGGACAATTGTGCGAACGTGCCCTCGAGCTCGGCGCGGAACAGTTGTTTCTTAGAAACGTCTGAGTCTACGTCCGGATTTAACTGGGGCGGACGCGTCTGCGATATTTTCCGCGACTGAGGCGAGTAAGAAGAGAACGAGCCGAATAAAGGAGAATCGTCGGTGTCGTCCGTGTCATCGCCCAGATCGTGATTGTATCTATCCATACGAGCTGAAATATTTACAAAAGCAATTTAATAATTTTAAAAAAATTGAAAATTTAACTATTAATGTCCTAAGTAGTAAACTGACGTCATTTGATGTCATTATATAAGATTTTGAAACTGATGAAATAAATCGTCCATAAAAAAATAACAAAATTTTAATAAAAACTTAAATTAAGAGTTTAACAAGGCTCTGTAATATAAATATAAATTTAAAGTGTAAGACAGGCAATAGAGCCAAATCGCGGATGACAGTGCGTTATCCCAACGAAACTAAATTTTTTCGTTAGAATTAAATATCTGTGCACAAGGCACCAAATTTTACTTGGTCACGGCCAAGATTTAAAATTGGAATAATCTCTACAAAAGATTTAATTCCATACATCCCCTGTTCCCCCCTAAGGAAATAAATGCGAGAGAAAAATATAGATCCGAAAGTCGCTGAATCGGGAATCGAATCCGAGACCTTTCGCTTGCCGGGCGACTGCTCTTCCAACTGAGCTATTCAGATCCTTTCGATTCTATACTTTTCTCTGCTATATATATAATAATGTTGATAAACAAACGCCTTTCTTAACAAACAATTGCCTGTCTTACACTTTAAATTTATATTTATATTATAGAGCCTTGTTAAACTCTTAATTTATACACGCTGGCTTAAAGGCGTTTGTTTATCAACATTATTATATATATAGCAGAGAAAAGTATAGAATCGAAAGGATCTGAATAGCTCAGTTGGAAGAGCAGTCGCCCGGCAAGCGAAAGGTCTCGGATTCGATTCCCGATTCAGCGACTTTCGGATCTATATTTTTCTCTCGCATTTATTTCCTTAGGGGGGAACAGGGGATGCATGGAATTAAATCTCTTGTAGAGATTATTCCAATTTTAAATCTTGGCCGTGACCAAGTAAAATTTGGTGCCTTGTGCACAGGTATTTAATTCTAACAAAAAAATTTAGTTTCGTTGGGATAACGCACTGTCATCCGCGATTTGGCTCTTATTGCCTGTCTTACACTTTAAAAACTTAAATATTGCAAAGATATATTAAATTGTATGTTTCTAAAGTGCTAAATTATGAAAAGAGTAATTAAAAAATATTCCAATTAAATTCCTTGAGAATTTCCTGATTTTTCAAAATAAAATAAATTTCCCGAGAATACCAGATTTTCAAAGTATTTTCCAGAAGTTTTTTCACACTTGTAAGATCACCCCATATTACTTACTGTCAAAGTAGCTTGTATCCTCATCATTAATTAATTGCGGCACAAATTCGGCCTTCTGTCTAAGCAAGCTATTCCAGTTTACTCCATAAAAATATGGATGTTCTTTGACCTCGTGTGATCCGCCAGTCCCCAATCGATCTCTAGGATTCTGATGTAGAAGCGCCGTGATGATGTCCTTTCCCTCGGGCTGAACAGGCCAGTCATCCTCGTCCGGCCATTCAATATCATCTAGGAATCGCGATTCAAATTATTTATTGTGATATTTACACACATATAGAGAAAAAATTTTAAATGTATTTTAAAGCTCCTGGCTGCTCGCCGACTATATTGAAATTGTGACGTCAGAAGCGAGAAAACATGCTGAAAATTATTAGGTACCATCTAACACGGCGAGAACTCAGGAACCTTAACTTTCATAGATATTGCATCGATAATTACCAATATAATTAAAAAATATAAAATATAAATATAATATAAAAAATATAAAGAATAAAACATTGAAAAATATGAAAAGAAATAAAAATGAAATTAAGAAATTGAAAAATATAAACAAATAATATATAATATAAATAAGCTTAAACGACTTGACTACGACGTAACTAGCAATTTTATTTGATTATTTCACGACGTTTCGACCATTTGGTTGTGGTCCTTTTCAAGTGAAATTTCATCAATTAAACCGAGGTTAACATAACATCACACCGTGTTATTTGAAATCGAAAGTTAAACGTTAAAAGAGGAACACGTCCCATCGTTATGATGTTAAAAGTTAAAAATCAAAAGAGGAACACGTCCCATCGTTATGATGTTTCGTCAACGACTAATATAAATATAATGTAAAATATAATATAAAAAATATATAATCAATTTAATATAAAAATATAAATAATATAAATATAATCTAAAATATATAATTAAAAAGTAAGATCACCGTTCACTGTGTGAGCGAATAATTCCTCAGGAGTCTCGCCGAAAAACGGGACGCAGCCGATCAGAAATTCATACAATATAATACCCATGGACCACCAGTCGACTGGTTTACCATAACCCTGGCGCAGTATAACTTCCGGGGCGATGTACTCTGGGGTACCAAACACTTGCTTGTCCGAAAACTGTCGCGTGTCCCGATCAATATAGCCCTCATAAAGATTTGTTGCCACTTAAAATTGCACACAAACAATTATTCGATTTGCTATTACTAATTTTTTTCTCAATAATCGAAACATTTCTCATACTCACAGGACATTAGACCCATTTTACTGAGGCCGAAGTCAGTAAGCTTGATGTGTCCTAGGGCAGTGATAAGCAAACTGTGGAAAAAAAAATCATCAGTATTTTTCGCTATTCGCTTCTTTTTACTTTTTATATATAAGGAGATATCTTACTTATCAGGCTTTAAATCCCGATGTACGATTCCATAGCTGTGTAAATATTCGACAGCTAAGACGGTCTCCGCGAAATAAAATCTTGCCATATCTGGTGGCAGTGGACCTATATTTTTTAGAAGATTCGCGCAATCTCCTCCCTCTACATATTCCATTACTAAGCATAAATGTTTCTGAAAAAAAAAAAAGAAAAGCCATTTTTTAAAACAATTTAACAAATAACAAACACTATAAATACAGAGTGTATACTCAAATCTTATAAATAAATTCTATGATTTTCCAGGTATTTTTGTTCAAAATTTCAAGTAAAATTAAAGTATTAAAAAAAATGTTAAATACAATTTTAAATTAAGTATATTTTCATTATACATAATTTTTTTTACATAAATAAAATATTTTTTAATATAATAATATAATATTGTATTTTATAAAATATATTTTAATATAATTATATAAACCTAATAATTTTATATTCTTTAAAGAGGTATATTTGAAAATAAAATCAAAGGGGCAATTTTTAAAAATTCTCGAAGTTCAAAATAAATTCCATAAATATTCCAGGATTTTTCAAGGTAGAAAAAAATTCCATGAGAACTCCAGGTTTTTCCAGAGAGAGTATACACCCTGAAATAAAATATAATATACATATATGCATACCTTAGTTTCAAAACTACAGTACATAGAGACTACAAATGGATTATCTGTAAAGCTCATTATGTCTCGTTCGGCAAACACTTGTTCTACTTGGTTTCGCAACATCAAATTGTTCTTATTAATTTTTTTCATCGCAAATCTCTGTCGAGTAGTCTTCTCTTTGACCAAATACACTGCACCGTAAGCACCGTTACTGATAAGCTTCAATACTTCGTAGTCACTTTCACATGGAATGCGCTGACACTTATCGTCACTTTTATTTGGACTCGATGTTACTTGCAGATTGCTGTCGCTGGAACTCGCAGAATCCTCCAATTTATTCAAATCTTCCTGCAATTCTATAAAAAGGTTCGATTAAACAATAATATTTTAGAAATGCATTATTAGTTTTAGAAATAGCATGTTAAAATATATACCGGATATCGGATCTCTATTTAAAGATAGTTTAGTAATGATATATTGAGGAATATCAGTTTTTATTCCTGCATTGACTTTAGCTTGACCCTCCGCTTGTTCAAGTAGATGATAGAATTCCTCGGGATCGAATTCTAAACACTCTAACAGACGTGCTGGACGCGATATAACTAATAAAAGTTTCTTTATTAATCCTGTTAATCTCGTTGCAGCCTCTAAAGATTTATCTTTTGTCTGTGAGGAAAAGGAAAAAATGCAACAATTATAAATATTTTCTCAATAAATCTATATAATAGACACATAGTGTTCCATTTTAACTTTCGAATTAAGTAAAAATTCTTAAAAATTAAGGCTTTTATCGAAAAATGTTTTATACAAAAGTTTTGGATTTCGAGATCATCATAATTTTTTTAAACAGAACCATCATAATTTTTTACATAAATCGATTCCTCGTAATATTTGACATAAAAAATTATTAGAGTAGAATAGTCAAAAATGAATAGTTTACAAGATATTTTATGTTTCATCCTGACACATTTTGACAAAAAGGAAATATATATTTTATCTTGTAATATATTCATTTTTCGATAATCTTACCTTAATAATTTTCTGTGTAGAATAATGAGATAAATAATAAATCGATTCTGTGTTGCAAGAAAACCAATTATTTAATAAAAATATGCAGTTGCAAATTGTAAATTATATTGTATAATTATATTGTAAACATTCTCTACATACCTCCATTAAAAGATGTTCCAGATTTTCGCTCATCTCGTAAAAGTATCTCGTTGTAATTAATTTTTCCTGAGATTTTTGTAAGCAGTCTCTGGCCATTTCGATTACCTGATGATGCACGAAACGTAAAATTGGTAATGAATCTTGAGTCATATGAGCCACAACTTCGTATTCGTCTATCTCCTTATTCTCATTGATAAAATTAGTTAATCGTTCTTCCATTTGTTGTGTTGCCTAAAAAAAATATGTAACGTGCCGTTGATCAAAAATATGTTCAATACAATTTATCATCTCACAAAAATCTCTTTTAATCAAATATGAATAGTACCTTTGGAAATCTTTCCTTATACAAGGTATTCATCATAACGATTTCACTATCAAGAACTGGTGATCGACTTGGACTACTGCTTGAACGAAAATTATGAATGATTAATTACATTTATCGATTTATTGATCAATTTACTCTAATATATTGTGTACACACATACACAAAATTTTTCAAGAGACCTAGGTAGCAAGTGTGCGTCATTCTGACATCAAATAACGTTACTCGATATCAAATGACGTTACTCGATGCCAAAATGACATTTAATAATGCCCTAGATAGCAAGCGTACATTATTTTGACGTCAAATAATGTCATTTTAACGTTTAATGACGTCAGTTTATTACTTGGGACCATTTTGACATTAAATGACGTCATTAGATATCAAAATGATGTCATTTTGACGTTTAATGACATCAGTTTACTACTTGGCGACGCACCTTAGACTCCGAGAACGTGGACGATGTAATGGCGAACGACAGCCCTCTTCTTCGAGGCTGAGAGACGCGCTGCCTGGAATACTAGATATGCTAGAACCAGGGAAGCCTGGATGCGAAGAGCATGGTGTCCCGGGCTTGGAAAAATGGCAAGACAGCATACGCAGCTCGTCCTTGGTCGGAACATTCGGCAGTTGATGCAAGCGTTCTTGGCTCGAATATTGAGACTGATATGGAATACAAATGACACATTAAGATTAGCCCATTCTCTTAATAAGATTAGTCGCTTTGCGCATACAGATGGACTTACAGAAACATTACTGGAACCAGGTGTTGTCCCGTATCCGCTGGATGGCAAACTGGCAACTGACCATCTTCTGCCATCGCCAGTTCCCGTAGCACCTCCTCCAATTCTTAAATATTAAAAAATATACTTGCTTTAATAATAGTTTTCGAAAGGAATTTGTAAAACAAATTGTTATAAAAATAAAAAAAACTAAAACACATGATGTAAAAGTCACAATGCACTTGTATGAAAAAAAAAAAACTTACAAGCATTTCTTTATTAAGTTCTTACTTCTCTTCATGAACTTTGCATAGTAAAGTTTTCGTATCACCATTTTTTTTCTATTTATAACATGCAAAAGAGCTATAGTGTTTACAATGACATCTTACCTACTTGAGCAATCAGATCAAAACTAATTTAAATGTCCCTGAGACAGTATGAGAGTGTGAAGTAGGTACCTTTTAATTGGAGCGAAAGCAAAATGTGGACTGGATGACATCCTAGGACTCTCTAGAGGACTGCCTACGATCGGGACGAATGCTATATCAGGAAATAAGCAAGAAACAAAATTAACTCACTATATCGTCAGTTTAAATAATCAAGTAAAATATAAGAAGATAATGTTTTCACTAAGTATAAGCAAAATTTATGTGCTCTAAGATATGCAGAATTTCTATAAATTCTAATTTGTTAAGGATACTATATATATAACATATATAATATATAGTATTGTGTGTGTGAGGATAAACAGGAGAGAAAGAGAGTTTTAACATTCTAGGTAGCAAGTGTACATCATTTTGACACTTAATAATGTCAGTTTACTATTTAGAATATTTCAAGAACAAAATCAAATGTGTGCTTAAAATATTGCTGTAAAGATCTTTTAGATTTGATTGAAAAAGATATAGTTTTCTGAAAAATAGAAATAATCATTAACAGATTGACAATTATATACCTGATAAAGGTGAATGGCAACGTGGTAAAGTAGGCGATGTGGTTGATATTAAGATTTGCGATGAGCAGCTTTAGCAGCACGACGAGGAATATTGAAATCACGCTGGAAAGGTGTTTTATCATCAAATACAATTTCTCCCACACATAAACTGTTTAATATATACATATATATACTCACCATGTGAACTGATAGAGAAGGTGCCGACTTTCCAATTGCAGAATTTCTCATGCGAACAAGATTTGACAGCTCTCCACTGACTGAAACAATAAAATATTGATATATATATATATATATATATATATATATATATGTGATTTAAATAATATTGTAATATATATATATATATAATTTAAATAAATTTAGTAAGATTCACAATAATATAAATTAATATAAACTAAAACACTAGAAAAATAAAATCTTTTTTCTTATTACCAGGCCGAACTGGAGCCTCCTTGCTCTCCATTTTTGATGGAGCTGGACGTTTGTGCACTTCTGTTTCCGCATTGTTGGTACTTTCCTCTGCTTCATTCTGGTCGAACACAAGCACTCTGGCAGAGTTTCCATGGGACCTCAATCGTGGTCTACTCGGTCTATTCTTTGTCTGATCCATGGTTTAGTCCACTGTGTCTCTGTGTTTTGGTGAACAAAGTAAATTTTATTAAGTGAATCATCAAAAATGGACTTATAAGTTACAATAGTCACAGCAATACAAAATATTCACACAACCATCAGACAAATAGAGAAAATAAATCTATTTATTTCAATTTTGACATGTTTTTCCAAACAAAATATGTGTATATTAATATTTGTCGTAACAAAAAATTTCCTCATGTGTGTTTTGGTAAACAAGTAAATTTTATTAAGCGAGTCATCAGAAGTGGACTTATAAGTAACAATTAGTCAGCGATACAAAATATTCACACAACAATCAGACAAACAGAGGTAAATAGATCTATTTGTTTAAATTATTACATGTTTAAGAAAACCATTTATAAATTAATGTCATAACAAAAAATTTCCTCATGATGTGTTATAATGAACAAAGTAAATTTCATTAAGAAAGTCTCTCATCAGAAATAAACTTATAAGTTACAATAGTCACAGCGATACAAAATATTATTCACACAACAATCAGGCAAATAGAGTTAGACCTATTAGTTTCAATTTATGACATATTTCACCAAAAAAATCTTTTAACAAACACAGTGTACATTAATACTTATTATGTCGCAAGAAAAATTTCCTCATGTGTATAGCATCAGAAAACTTGGAAACTCATACAAAATACAAAAATCACAGATCACACTAAACAACCAAAAATAAACATTGTCAATAATGACATGTTATAAAAAAAAATATTTATATGTATATTAATATTTAATGTCGCAACAAAAAATTTCTTCATGCTGTGTGTAACAAATACAAGCTATATAACACTAGACACCTAAAAATAAACAATTGGATGTATGTGACACACCTGTCGGCGATGCTGAGCTCAGAGGGGAAAGAAAACAAATGAATGCGAGCCACTCCAGGCGAAATCACGAATCCTCCCAAACTTGGATTCTCCCTTTCCCTTACACCCTCGGGAGGGTCTTCGAAGGTCGATTTTCTCTGAGTCCCGTCATTTCAGGGTTGATACTCTCCGAGAATCGCATTGCAGAGAGAGAGAAAATTCGGGACGAGTGAAATCAATGCGATACAAGGAATGAGGGAGAAAGGAATCCTCTATGGACCCTATTTGGAGAGACGAAGATAAGACGAGAGAGGAAGGAAACACGCAGGCACAACACGACTAGGTGCACGCGATGACGGCAACGATGACAATCGAAAGGACGCGACGATCACCGGCCGCCAGAGCCATCTTTCCCCAGAGTCTTATTATTCCTTCCACGGAGGCCGAAAGCGGGAGCTTTCCGGGGCTGCTACGGCTTCAGCTCGCATCTCCTTATTCCGTACTGAGAGGGGACTTAATTACGGAACAGCGACCCCGGAGAGAAGCGACCCTGGCTCTCCTGCGATATGGCTGTGAGCTGTGATTCATGAGGATGTACGCACACATCCGTGCATATATATGTATATACATAGTACGCAAATAGTGTGTGACAGGGCCGAAAGCTGGAGAATTGTCGCCGCGACTTCTCTGATTTTTATGTATATGCAGGGTTGAGTACATATAATAACATATTTATTTTACCAGTAGCCGCCCTCAAATATTGCAATAAATTTATATAAAATTAATTTATATAAAAAATTAGAGTAGTTCCATTTAGAAAAATATTAGCTTGATGACCTTAAAATAAAACTTTGAAAAATAAAATTCAAACTTATTAATTTAAAAAAATTTTTTTTCAATTTTTCTTCAAAAACTTTTATTCTAAATTTTGTTGAATAAAATATTTTTCTCGTTACAGTCATATTACATATATATATATATATATATATATATATATATATATACATATATATAGTTTCATTTTTTATAGCAGGATCCCGTAGACAGATCGCCAAAGGCCTGTCTAAAGAGGAGACCGTCATTTTTGTTATTTACCGACACACTTTGCCCCTGGTTCGAGTCCAGGCTAATAAAATCCTTTGATTTTACCAAAAAACTTTGCCTTTGGTGCGAGTTCAGGCTAAAATCTTTTTATTTTACACGTATAATCAAAGGATTTTAGCCTGAACTCGCACTACAGGCAAAGTTTTTTGGTAAAAATTAAAGAATTTTATTAGCCTGGACTCGAACCAGGGGCAAAGTGTGTCGGTAAGGGGCAAAAATGACGGTCTCCTCTTTAGACAGGCCTTTGGCGATCTGTCTATTAATCTGTGATCCCGTAGGTAGCACACGATCGGATTATTTCAGAAATGTGTTTCCTAAAACGTATGTAAATAAGTTTATTAATAACCGTTTAAGCATCAATAAAAAAAAAAGTTTTTAAAATTATAATTTCTAAGAAATATTTCTTTCACGTTTAAATTATACCTCAGTAGCACGAAATAATGCTAAAATATTGCAATAAAATAAATATTTCAATATTGAGCTACATTACAAATATTGCAACAATATATATATATATATATATATATATATATATATATATATATATATATTGTTGCAATATTTGTAATGTAGCTCAATATTGAAATATTTATTTTATTGCAATATTTTAGCATTATTTCGTGCTACTGAGGTATAATTTAAACGTGAAAGAAATATTTCTTAGAAATTATAATTTTAAAAACTTTTTTTTATTGATGCTTAAACGGTTATTAATAAACTTATTTACATACGTTTTAGGAAACACATTTCTGAAATAATCCGATGTGCTACCTACGGGATCACAGATTAATAGACAGATATATATATATATATATATAATGCAAATATTATAAGTTAATATTTTATCGGAGACATTGCAAAATATTACTCAGTTAAAATTAAGATTATATAATTAACTCAAGTTAAATAAAAAGTTAATTTTAAAAACATATTATTTATATTCTTTTAAAATTTATAATAACAAATAATTTAATGAAGAAATTTTGATTTTTATATAAAAATATATTTTTTGGTAATTACAATTATTAACAAATAAACATAAAAATTAATTAATAATACTTTAAGACTAAGAGGATGCTGCAGGTATGTTTTACCGATTGAATGCGAATATTTAGTTTTTTTATATATCTTTTTATTGACTGTACTGATCAATAAATCCTTTTCCACGATTAAAGTACTTATAAAAACGGACCGCGCTAGCTATAATTCCATATATAAATCATATGAAAATGAAAAATTACAGTTTTGTTATCGGCTTCTTTTGTCAGTTCGTAACAATACTTATTTAACAAAAAAAGTTCTGCAGTTTGTCTGTGCATAAGAATCTATTCTAATTTAATTTGTTTTAAACATATCACATACAAATAATTTAATAATTGATACGTCGAATTTATCAACATATTGATAAAAAATTAAAATGGATTAGTTTATTAAAACAATTACTTATGTCCCAGATAGCCACAGTAATTATTATGACATCAAAATGCATGATGTCATAGTAATTACTGTGGCTATCTGGGGTGTGTTATCTATGTTTATTCTCTGCAGATAAAAGAAAATAAGTATAATAATTATTTTGTCTTATTTTATTAATGTTGTATATGTTAAATATCTCGTTTATTATATTTTTAACATATATGTGTTTAACGTTTTATTTCTTTCATGTAAAATATATACATATAACAATATTCCAAATTGATATAAAATACATATAACAATATTCCAAATTGATATAAAATACATATATGTATATGCAAAAAAGCATCTACTGATACTATATTATGTATTGCAAGACGAATAAACTCGTATGTCTAACATTATTGGCTAAATTACAATAAAATATGTTATGTTATTTTTTACGATTTGAATAACAGATTAGTATATATTCCGCTATTCTATAACTCTCCTATCTCTTTTCGTCTTAAAGACGAATATGTCGAATGGAGAATGCGTTTTTTCTACCTGCAAGTTCTTTTATCTTTTGTAAATATCTCAAATTCAGGGGCGTAGCTAGATTGAAATACTAAAGGCAAGAAAATTGACAAAGTTAAATTAAAAAAAAAAATTGAAAACAATTTTAATTTTTTAATTTAAATTAAAAATTTTTAAATTATAAAATTTTTCAATCCATTATTTAAGTTGAAACTATTTATGGGATGAAATAACTAAAAAATAAGACTGACAAAAGTATACACAAACGCCAAATATATGATACCTAGTTTATTAAATAAACAAAGATGGTATTTATTTTAAAACACTTAAATAATAAGTTTAAAATAAGTATTATTATTAACAACAATAACAAATTTTGAAATATATTTTTTTTGTTTAAAAATACTCAAGTTTATTTAAGTAATTGCACAGGATTGCAGTAAAAGGTTACTTAAATAATAAGTATAAATCTTATGATTTGAAATGTAAAAGTTTTAATATTTAATTTAATTAAATTTAATTAAAATTAATAAAAAATAAATAAAATTACTTAAACTTGATTTTTTAAGAGCAGGCCAAAAAGTTAGAAGGCAAAGCCTGCTCTGGCTTACTCCTGGCTATGCCCCTGCTGAGTAAGATTTTCAGGTATAAGGATTTCAAACTATAAGGGTGGACAGACTGTAGAACACATCTGTAGTGCACATAAAATATACGCACATGTGTTTTTTAAACCAGCACACATATAATAAGAATAGTTCGCCATAGATTGGTGTACTTTTAAGGCTTTCAAGAGCAGAGAAATAATTACGCGAATAGTTTGTTGTGACTATCTTAATTTATATTACTATCTTGTGTTTTTTCGAATTTTTTTCGTAATGGCTACGATAACGTGCTTACCAGAAGAAGTGATAAAAATCATTCTCAACTACAGTGACATTAGTAGTGAGGATATTTTCAACTTTAGATTTGCATGGATGCAACTTCATTCAACAAACGAGTCTGTATTTGAGTATTGGGAAAGAACATTATCTCAAAGGTAATTCATTTTGTTCATAAATATTTTTGAAATTAAACAATGTTGCTTCAAAATAACTACTCGCAAAATAATCCTTGTTTCTATGCTTTGGTATTTGTTAGTCTATTTTTTAATTATTTTTTAAATAAAATAAAAGAATGTAATATATCCCATGACAAATATAATATGTATGTATTATATATGTATATATACATATATATATATATAAATATATATATATATATAGATATATATTATTTATAACAAAAAAGAATAATATATCAAATATTAATAATTTTCCATTTTATTTTGTTAAGGATGTATTGGATGGGCCGTCTGTCTCAAAAGTTAATCAAAAATATCAAAAAATTAATGTTGAGCAGAATACGAATTCTAATTGATCAACAATTTTTACAAGTCACGAAATCATACTTCAAAGTATTCTTTAATATAAATAGGTCTTAATTTCCAAGAAAATGTATAAATTTGTATATATTTCCCAATGAAACATTTTTCATCTTAAAAATTTTGGAAATGATTGCACCCTAAATTCAATCAAAGAAAAATGAAATTATAGAATATCAATTTATTATAAAAAGCGAATAAAATATTTTTAACTGTTTTTTCAATTATAAAATTCGTTTTAACATTTAAAATAATTAATTAAAGTACGACGTGAAATGTGACAACGCCACAAAAATTTTACATTTATTGGAAATTGTACAATAAATGACGTATTATTAATATTTTAACTTTTGCCAAAGGCCTTTGGTGTTGTTCTTGTAAAGAATATCTTTCTCTGGATTTTATTGAGAAAGAAATACAAAAGGTAAATATGCAATGTTGTCACGTTTTATCATCGATATTGCGTCAAACCGATAATATTTTTTAATAATAATTTAAAAACAAGCAAGTAATTTTAAAACTTTGTGGGAACAATTTTACATGTATGAAGAATATAATGTTACAAAATCAAATTTTTATCATTGTTTTTCATAGTTTGTGAATAATTTATTATCTGCTGTCTTTTAAACGTTTACATAAGATCCTATGTTAAAATCGCAAAATTAAAAAAATTAATAACTTTTAAAGAAGCAAGTAAGAAAATTTGAAATAATTCATGACGATTTAGGACGTTGTTAAGAATGTTTAATTAAAAATTCACGGCGATTTCATTGATTGTAATATATATGCAATACATATTTAATTTAATTATTTTCTTTAATGTTTTAATTATATATATGTATATTTAAATAATTTAAATATATGTTATTTTAATACCATAACAATTAATTCGCAAAATTACTGTTTTATAAATATATTATAGAATGTAATAATTAAATGAATTATATTATATATTTGCATATGTAAGAAGGATATATATAGTGTAGCTTTTGTTTTATATTATTGTATATATACATAATACATATAATTATAGTGTAAATATTACAATTTAAAATTAAAGATTAAATATTATATATTTTTTACATTAAACCAAAAATTTAATCAGATAAGAAATATATGTCGGCTCTCAATATTAATAATAATAATATATGAATTTTAAATCGGCCAATAGAGCCCAAGCGCAAAAAATTATTTCTTCGGAACTATATCTCTTGCGGTTTGAAATTACTAAGTTCCATATATAAATTAATCTCGAACTTACATATGGAGAAAAATAGGCGAGAAAAATATAGGATTTTTCGGACCTATATTTTTCTCGCCTATTTTTCTCCATATGTAAGTTCGAGATTAATTTATATATGGAACTTAGTAATCTCAAACCAAGAGATACAGTTCCGAAGAATTAATTTTTCGCGCTTGGGCTCTATTGGCCGATTTAAAATTCATATATTATTATTATTATCAAAAATTTAATATTTTTTTCTAATACTTCGAATATTATGCATTTTAAAAAATATGATGTTTTAAAATTTCACTACTCATGCAATAATACTGTTTAGCATAATTTTTAAATGTTTTATAAATAATTTTATAAAATAGAAAGTTTTTCTATTTTGAAATAAAGATAAAAAGGAATTGATTGACCGACACTGGCTAAGGTGAAAAATCTTTTATTAAAAAAGACGCAACGTTTCGACCCCGAATTGGGTCCTCTTCAGGTTACAAAAATTAAATTATACATCTCAGTTAAAAAAAACATAATATCAGTAAAAATCGGATACAGAAAATCATACATATAATAAAGTGTTAAACAATACCTGTTAATTTAAAGTACATGGTAAACTAAATGATCATAGTGTCTGTTTGTTGTAACCAATTAGAATATGACAAACTTGAAAGTAATAAAAGAACAACAGTGTTCATTTTGATATATAACTTTACATTAAACCGACACACAGACAAGCTCTCGAATAAATAACACAATTAAAAAGAAAAATAGAAGTCAACCGAATAAAATAAAATTAAATAAACAAAATATATAAACATAGGGACGCTTCTAAAACACTTCATAAATGGTAAAAACAAATTATACATAAAATCTACTTAAATAAAAACGGAAATAAAATAAAATAGGAGAGATTAAAATTAATAAAAATTTTTTCTATTTTTTTTAGATGGCCTTCTGCGAATAAAGTATATGCGGAACAGTATAAGGAAAATGAGAAAACAAATTCTGATGAAATTGTGCAACAGCAGAAACGGAGCATAGACTTTATAGAAACAGGCATAAATTATGCAAAACAATTACAAGAATATGTTTCTCAAATCGTTTATAAGCATAATCATGAATCACAAGCACACAGCATTGGTGGTTATTATTATATACAAATTAATAATTCAATACTGTTTCAAGACGTATTTCATTTAGATGAACATTTAACAAATAACATTGATGAAATAATTAATAAGCCTGAACATTTCATAAAATATTGTTTCTTTATTGATGAATGTAAAAACTTGCTTATACAATCTCTAAGGTAGGATTCTTAATTGTATATAAGTACTATTGATTTTTACTACTTAATTATAAAAACAAAGGTATTTAAACCATATTTAATATGTAATTTTTTCAGTAAAACTGATTGCAATCTAACCAAACAATATTGTTATGCAAAATTATTTTGTTATATGAGGCAGTTATTTTTAAAGAATAAGTGGAATATAAAAATTGAAAGACAACCTAATCAACTTTTGGAACGGATGTCTACTATTATGGTACGTTTATGGTATATGACGCTACAACCCGAAAGAGATATATCTTATTCATGGGTAAAAACATCGTTGGATAATATCGCACTAGGGGTATTGAATTATCTCCGAGAAAAATATCCCGATCACTCGATATTCTCGATATCCGCTGAAACTTTTACTTATTGGAAAAATAACAATATCGATGAAAATCATTGGAACGAAGCGGAAGGAACGCAGATTATAGATATACTCGACGAATATATATTTGACAAATTAAACTTTCGGACGACATTAGATCATGAAAATTTTGAGCACCTGTGCATAGATAATGTAAGTTATTATACAATATAATGTGTTATAAATAAAGACTCATAACATATATAATTAACGATTTATTTTATGTTGTAAGTTTATGACTATATATTGAAAATACATTTGCTCTAATTAATTTTGTATTGTAATCTCTGATATAGGTTTTAAGAAATAAATATGGCCAAGAACAAATTGTATCAATAATATATCATAGCGTGGCCAGGAGACTTGGTTTACGTTGTGATGTAATAAAACTCAGTTACAACTCCAAAATGTTCGGTATATTTTGGAAACTAAAATAGTAAGTTATAGTTTATTAAATTTAGAATTATACAAACTTTTGGGGATTTTTACTACATTATCATATATACACACATACACGTATAAGGTTTTATGCTGTTTACAGTTCCACGAAGAATTTAGAAAATGCAAGATATTTTAGGATAAATTCTTACCAAGTTTCGGACAAACGAGGGTTACTCAGGACACTATATTCATTTAAAGAACCCTGTAAAATAGAAGCTAAAGAGGTTAGCAATTTCTAATATATGATTTTTATTAATATTTAACACTAATTAATATACACTTGTAACCATATGACATGAGTCAATTAAATATACGCTTTATACAACATGTAAGCAGAATTAATTATACAATCTCTTATTTTTTTTATTATTCTGTAATCAAGTCTTTGTTTATATTTATTTTTTGCTCATGTGCATTCTTTTTTCAGATGTGGTACGAAATAAAAGAACTATTCTTTCCGTCTTCTCCATTCCCATATGAAACGGTAAACGGTTCTTTCTAGCTCTAGGTTCACTTTCTAGCTCTCACACACTTATTGTCTTTGTCAATATATTTTAAATTTATTACTTTTTCTTGACATTAATTATCAATATTTCAATATCAAGTATTAATAAAATATATAAATATAAATTATTAATGAGATAAATAACGCTATATGTGTACTACTTTCAGAGAATTTGACTTTTTAATATGAATAAATAAATTAGTATAATAGTTCAAAGTGGAAGGAGTTACAATCGTGAGCAGTAGACTATTTTTAAATAAATTTTTAAATAAATAATATTAACATAATTTTAAGATCTATTTACTTGCATTTTATGTATTTATGAAATAGTGTCATTTAAAAGGAAAAAGGCAACTGACAATAAAAACCTATCAAAGTATTTTAACTAAAAAAGTTGTGCAAAATAGTAGTTTAAATTTTTACAAAAATAACATTACAACAATTGCGTCAAGTGAAAATAGAAACTGGTATATTATTTTATTTTCACCAAAGGTTATTTTAATTTTCTGCATGTATTCTATAAAAATAACGATTTGAAAAGTATTGTAAGAAACTATAAGAAATTTACTGTAAAAGTTTATTCAGGAATTAATTGACAAGATAGATAAATATAGTTTAATTAATCTTATATTTTTCAGTTCAACGTTTGCTATAAAATAACAGAGCCAATAAACATAAGAACACCGGAAATAAAATATGCAGTAGGAATGATCGTAAAACATAATTTCTGTCGGTCAGATTGTACCGGTGTTATAATTGGATGGGCGCGACATGAATATGTTTCGGTAGAAAGAAACTCTACACTCCCAAGAACTTATGTGTATTGCCGATAGAATCCAATAATTATAGTTACAGAAAAGGAATAAATTATGTAATTCTTATCGAAAATAGTAAAATGTGTTACATGGAACAAGGTATGAATATCATTAGATGACGCGTCTTTATTTCAAGTTATATCTATGTATAATACTTTATAAATTTTTTGTACAATAATATTTTACTGCATTTCTTTTTTTAATTTAGTTGTTTTATTTGTTTTTATTATTATTTTATTTATTTTTTTATTTTATCTTAGTTATTGTATTTTTTATTTTTTATTTTAGATGATATAACTTTAACAACGTCGAAATGGATCGATAATAGCGAAATAGGTCGCTATTTTTGTAAATTTGAAGGCACGTATTACGTACCAAATCAAATGTTGGCAAGACTTTTTCCGCAAGACGCCGCTATAACTGCCAAGACAACAATTACACAACAAATATCAAAATTAACAATATAAACATAAAATCTAATTAATAAGTTTATCATTGGAAAATGCATTATATCCGTTTAAAATACGTGTTTTCCAATAGTTATATTCTCAGAAATATCATGGTATGTCTGTAGACGGAAGAACAATAAGTAGAAGGAAGATAAAATCTGCAATGTATTTTATTTGTAATATTGAAGTAACAAATAATTAATTTACTGCAATAAATCTCAACATAACAAATAATTAATTTACTACAAAAATAATTTATCTAATTTAAATTATATAAAACTTTGCAATGTAAATGTACAAAGTACGTTTGTCATTATCATAATGTTTAATTGATTGTTACAATGTATCTTAAAGTTAAAACAAATAATTCTTAAAATTATTTTAACAAAATTATTTGATTTACTTTAAGCATCACATTATAATAACAGGAATATTAATGGAACAATTAACTGGAAACATATACAGAGTACCTTAACATTATCAGGTATTGTTCAATTTAGCAACGCCAAGTTCTTTTAACTAAAATTTTTTCTCTTTTTTTTATTTTATATTAATTTTTAATTTTTACATAAGTTTTTAATTTTCAATTTTTTTTACAAATTTTTATTTATTTGGCGCAACTTTTTGATATCATTTTTTTTAGAAATATATTAATTTTACAACATAAGTTTTATATTTTTTCTATAACACTTTTACACATGACACGTAAACTTGGCGCTCTTTTTTTACCTTTTTTTTAAAAGATAAGTTTTTTATCGATATTGTTTACAGTGCTACGAAGGAATTAGAAAATGCAAGACGTTTTTGCGTAAATGAATTAAGATTAAAGTTTAAACTCTATAAAATTGATGTTAATAAGGTTGTCAATTACTAATATTTAATTTTTATTAATTTTAACACTAATTATATACTTGCAATCTGACATAAGTTAATACGCTTTATATGTATATAGTTAAAAGGAATTATATATAATTATATAATCTCTAATTAATTGTTATTTAACCCAGCAAACACAGTATATAAATGTTATATACTTAAGCATGTTACATGTAACGTACGTTAGTTGTAATTTCCCACTCATAGATGTAACATTTTTAATATTACATTGTAGTTATATTCCCAGACAGCACATAAAACTAAAAGTTGACGAAAAGATGTCTTTTTTAAGTTATCTTTTCGGCAAGGCTAAAATACATCTAAAGGATGTCTTTTTGATTACACAAAAAAGTTGTCTTTTGAAAGATGTCTCCCAGCAAACACAGTATATAAATGTTATATACTCAAGCATGTTACATGTAACGTATATGTTAATTGTAATTTCCCACTCATAGATGTAACATTTTTAATATTACATATATTACATTGTAGTTATATTGTCATTATATCCCAAGATAGCACTGACTTATCAATACATCAATGTGCTATTTGGTATATAATTACAATATAACTACAATGTAATATATGTTATATTAAAATGTTACATCTATGAGTGGGAAATTACAACTAACATGGATGTTACATGTAACGTACACGTTATATTACCTGTTATATTCCGTTTTATTATAGCAATGTACCAATTATATATCGGTGTTTGCTGGGCTATAAGATGTTTTATAAAAGTCATAATTAATTTAGTTGACGAAAAGATACCTTTTCAATCATCTTTTTAGGTATCTTTTTGGTAAAGCTAAAAGACGTCTAAAGGATGTCTTTTTGACTAACTAAAATATCTTATTTTACTAATAAAAAATAATCGCTTGTATTATTTTTTTTAAGATTCATATTCATTAATTATAATCACGTCCCCAGCTTTAAGGGGCTCCTAAATATCTAGGATTGTTAACATGCTATTTAAAAAGAATATAAATATTAAGATATATAATTTTTGAGATCTTGATCTTTTTGGAATACGTATCCTGCATATACTACACATTATAATTTTTAAATTTGCAAAGGGCCCCATTCAATTTTTGTCTAGGAAGCCCCAACGTTGCATAGTTACGCGCTAATAAACAAAGATGACTAAACACTCGAAAGTACGAGATTGATATAAGGAAGCACGGTTATTCTCTCTTGAACTGACATATCGCATTAATTAATATAAGTCGTACACCTAAAAGTGAAACGCAACTTAGAACTTTGATTCTAAATAGATAAAGTGCAGATTAAGTGTATATATCATTGCTAAACCCTCAAGATTTGTGGTAAATATATTTTTTAAAAGTTAAAGAATTAAGCGATTTATATATATATATATATATATATATATTTTCTTGTTATTCTAAACAATTAACTTCATATTATATAAAAGAGAGATATAAGATATAATACATATTCTCTCTTTTAAAACAATAATATTCTTTTTTTACAGAACCAAAGGCTTAAAAGACCTTCGCTAATTTTTTATCAAGATGTAATCTTTAATCTTTACACGGTGAAAAAGAATTGCTTTTCCGTCGCCAAGGTGTATACATATATATATTATACAAATAAATTGTATGTTTTACATAAATTATTAAAAGAGAAAAATTAATTTTATGGGCAGATAAATATAAAATGCAGCAGACAAGTCTAACAGCTCTACTTCACATATTAAAAGATGAAGGTCATGATAATCTCCCCAATGATGGGAGGACATTAATGAACACTCCACGATCGACAACAATTTATAAAAGATCAGATGGACATTATTATCATTATGGGTTACAAAATGGAATTATTGATAAGTTAAGTCAGTTGAATACCTCAAAATTTAATAATCCTATTATTATTAATGTTAATATAGATGGACTTCCTATTTTAAAAAGTTCAAAAAGCCAATTATGGCCTATTTTAGTACAAATTGTTTTAAAAATCATAGATCTACCGTTCCTTTTATCGTTGGCGCTTATCACGGTTATAATAAACCCAGTTCAAATAATCATTTTTTACAACATTTTATAAATGAATTTAAAAAATTGAATACAATAAGATTTACATTTAAAAATAATATATATAAAGTAGAAATTAGAGCAATTATATGCGATACTCCTGCGCGATCATTTTTCACTTGTACGAAAGGTCACAATGGCTACTTTGGTTGTAGTAAATGTAACATAGAAGGAAATTATGAACACCACCGAATGCTCTTTCTTCATCATAATTGTCCTTTGCAAACAGACGAAACATTCAAAAACAGACAAAATCCAGAACATCATACTGGTACATCTTTATTTGAACAAATGTCGTTACCAATGGTCACTAGTTTTCCACTAGACTATATGCATTTGGTTTGTCTTGGACAAATGAAAAAATTACTAATTTTATGGTTGAGAGGTCCCACTCACATTGAAGCTAAATTATCTGGTGAACAAATAAAAAATCTAACTTGAGATATGATTTCTTTAAAAAAATATGTCTGCTCTGAATTTGTTAGAGTACCCACTAATTTTGAAGAAATTGATAGATAGAAAGCTACCGAATTTAGAGTATTTCTATTATATCTTGGGCCTGTTTTATTACATAAATATCTTCCATTTAATTATATGAAGCACTTTATAGTATTTCATTGTGCGATCAGAATATTATGTCACCCATCGGATTATCTAAATAATCTTCAATATTCAAAGGAACTCTTATCTTATTTTGTTCATTATTATGAAATTCTATATGGTAAAGAAAATATGATTTATACGGTACACAATTTGATACATTTGAGTGATGATGTAAAATTATTTGGACCTTTAGATACTTTTAGTGCTTTTCCGTTCCAAAATCATTTGCACATTTTAAAAAATGTATTAAGAAAATATGAAAAACCATTACAGCAAATACATTGAAGAATAATCGAAAAAAACACAGCAAATAAATTGAAAACAAGTATAAATGATGCTTTGAATAATTCAATATTGATTTCACAAAATAAGGAAAAACTCCCTTTTGAATGTTTTGAATCTTACGATATATTAAAGTTCAGTGATTTTAAATTATCTTGTACGCAAGCTGATCGATTTTGTTTTTTAAAAAATAATAAAATTGTGATGACACATCACATAGGATTGAAAAATGGAAACCCTGTTTTACTTGGTCAAGAATATATAAATTATTCTAGTTATGACTTATATCCTTGTAATTCGCAACATATGAATGTTTTTGTGGTCAGTGACAATAATTTAACTGAATTGAAATATTTTTCCGTTAATGAAATTATTGTATAAGAAAAGCTGTACTACTGCCATGGAAAGGGGCAAAATTTGTGTTTTTCTACTTCTACATTTAGATATATCCCAGCAAACACAGTATATAAATGTTATATACTTAAGCATGTTACATGTAACGTATATGTTAATTGTAATTTCCCACTCATAGATGTAACATTTTTAATATTACATATATTACATTGTAGTTATATTGTCATTATATCCCAAGATAGCACTGACTTATCAATACATCAATGTGCTATTTGGTATATAATTACAATATAACTACAATGTAATATATGTTATATTAAAATGTTACATCTATGAGTGGGAAATTACAACTAACATGGATGTTACATGTAACGCACACGTTATATTACCTGTTATATTCCGTTTTATTATAGCAATGTACCAATTATATATCGGTGTTTGCTGGGATTACAAGGTATATACATTACATAATAGCAAATTGCTTGTTATAATTTCTTGTGTTAACATGTATTTTAATTTTATAAATTTTGTTGCAATTTTTCAGATGTTTAATGTTGCCGTTGGTACAGATTGGTGCCAAGTAGTTCCACAGTCATGGATTAACACTGATAATCAAATATGTTTATGGCCACCGCATAATATTAATGTTACAAAAGCAGTGAAGAAACTATAAAAAGATATTTTATATCAGAGACGATATATTTGCCTGCTAATTGTTTCTAAAATATCTTCTCCCAGAACGATTTGCATGTGCGTTCTGGTTATTAAAAAAGATATTTTATATCAGAGACGATATATTTGCCTGCTAATTGTTTCTAAAATATTATATCTTCTCCCAGAACGATTTGCATGTGCGTTCTGGTTATTAAAAAAAGATATTTTATACCAGAGACGATATATTTGCCTGCTAATTATTTCTAAAATATCTTCTCCCAGAACGATTTGCATGTGCGTTCTGATTATTAAAGTTAGTATCCAATCGTTAGTACCTACGATGCAATGCCTGGAGTCAAATTCAAATACAGGTACGTGTAGTAAAAATGTCGAACTTTGTGAAGATAACAATCATTTTGTTATCTGAAGAATAGCCCTCTGGATATAAATCGTATCCAGGAAAGCATGCGCGCAAGGGCGTCGCATTGTCGACTCTTCTCATATGTGGAATAAACTTCAGAGATCATTCAATAATCATATGCAAGAAATAGAGTGCCAATTTAAAGATTGAAAACTCATAAAAACTAAAATCGAAGGCCAAGAGGAAAATGGCTCTAGGAATAGCACATATAAGAATACTAGCAATAAATCCATCGATTTTCAAAAATCGGTGGAATTATTCTCAGATACGATGGATTCTAAAGGTAGTATTCAAAAAGTGTCGCCTTTTCCTAAATAATAAAAATAATATATATATATATATATATATATATATATATATATATATGTCAATTGGCTATTTTGACGACATCAAAAATCGAACATTTTATTGTATACATAAGAGTACATCGACTCCCTGACGTATACATTAGTTATAATTTTGTAATAAATGAACTGGTACATATGTATAAGCAATTAAGTATAAAACCATTAGTACAGCGACAGTACAAATTATGTACAACACATTGTACTATTTGACTATTATGTAGAACTAGTGTGAATCTCACGTTGCGAGTGGTAGGATATAAGGAATAGTCGCGAGAGATATATGTGCAAAATTAGCAAGTATATCCTTTAATTGGAACCTTAGCAATACAAGAAAATATACATGTGACTCAGCAGAAAAGATACGTGCGCGGCACATGAAAAAAGAAGAAGAACAGTAGAGAGAGAACATAAGCTGAGGAAATATCGCTCCTTGCCTATCTCGATAATCACGAGATGGCGTTACAATATAACAACGCGGAAGGTGACAGAATAGATTTAATCTATTATTCCAACATATTATAACGACACCACTAATTTCTATAAAACGGTTGTTTTAACGACACTCCAAAAATAAGTTGAAAAATCTTTTTGAATAGCAATCATTTATCAAATTTTTTCAACTTTTTAATCATATTTTCGTATATACTAAAGAATGTCATATAATTTAAAATTAATTATTACTATCGGAAAAGCGATAAACGATTTTTGGAGCTTTCATTGGATTCTCGAGGCTATAGATGTGATGTAATAGTAATATTGGCTCAAAATTCAACCGTCTAATTGAAATTGACTTTTCGTTTAAAGAAATTTATAGGATTTCACAATATATGAAACCCTTATTGTTAGAACAAATTTTTTAAGCAAGAAGTTAATTATTCGATTGACATTATGTATTTTGTTATAATTTATTCGAGTATTATTTTGCTTTGATTTATTAATATTTATAATTTGTTTTAAGTAAATTTAAGTTGTGTTTTACTTGTAATACGCAAATCAGCTGGATATCGATTCTGTAACTTTTTCTAAAGTGAAAACGTGAAAAGTAAAATATTTCCGCCAATCGTACATCGATTTCATTTTAAAATCAATGCGTGATTGGCGAGAATTTTCACTTTTCACATTTTCACTTTAAAAAAAGTTACAGAATCGATATCCTGGTGCAAGGAAGTGAAATCAGTTGAAACGATAGGACGATTTTTAGTCTTTTCGTAGTTATTTTCAAGTTAGATATTTCGTCATCATGCGTTAACAAGAACGGATGCAATACCGAGCGTCTTCTTTATAAATCTTGTTTTTGAGTGCTATAAAAAGTTTATAGAAATATCAAATTATTAATGTTTTTTAGTTGGAGTTAATAGGTGACAATAAGTGTTAGATGTATAAAATATTTATTTTTGTTTTTTGTATATACATAAATACATTAACGCACAAGAAAAGCTAGATTAGTGATGTACTGCTGTAATGTTGAAATTGACGTCTGTAATTCGAAGTTGTTAAATAGATTTCTATGTGTCTACATTTTTCTTTGATATATATACATAGTCTGTATTAATTATTATAGACATTTAATTATTGTAATTTTTTCTTAAGATGGTGCAGGGAGAAGACAGAACAATATGTGGTTAAATAAAATCGATTTTATATGAAAATCTCATGTATTTCGTAGAGAATATATGAAGTAAAAATATGTAAATAACAGTAATGAAACTAAATGTTATGTATATAACTGTATCTTTGGTTGTACAGGTTTATTCATATAGCATTTGATAATGATATGTGACATATGGTAATAATATTTGAACATTTTTTTGTTTTTCTGAATGTTTTTCATAATAATTCTACATAGATAAAGAATATGTGAACAAGGTTGAAATATTCACAATTTCAATTAGTTTTAAAAAAAGAAACGTATATATTGTATACATTAAAATGACAAAGTTAATATGTTGAAGAGAAAGGGTTATCGCCTATAATCTTTTCGTAAAGTGTTACGTTACATTAAGTATTTACTTTAGACTTAACTTGTACATAATCTTAAACTTTAATCAACGCACACAAAAATCGTAATGATAAGATCAGAACTTAACGTAATTTAACATAACGATTTTTGTGCTTTGACTAAAGTTTGAGATTATGTACTGACAATGAGTAAAGTCTAATGAATAAAAGGTTAGTACTTAACGTAACGTAACGCGTTACAGAAAAGCTTGTGCGGTGGTTCAAAGAAATACATAAAAATCTTAATTATAACGTATTAATATAGTGTAATATAAAATTTTGTGTTCGATTTTAATAATCTGAAAACATTAATATGTGTTTATAATACCACTAATCATACAAAGAAAAATGTGATAAATATATATAGTAAGACGAGAGAAAATGATAATTGTACAACAGAATGGTAACTAAAATCATTGCTTACAATGTATGTAGAACTTATTTTAAGTAATTACTTATTCATTTTTATGACAATACAAAATTTGATATCTTTTTCTTTCTCTCTCTCTCTAGTTATAAATAAGGAAACTTAATACTCTCGACTTCAGCAAAAATAATAGAACCTTGATACCATCACTCATGTTTACTTTGACTATATAAAGCAACATCCTTAAAATTAAATTTAAATCCTTAAACGTTTAGCGATAATACAAATGATAAATAATATGTAATTAATTAATTAACATAACATAAGAGATATTATACCATACTAACTAATCTATAATAATCAAATTGTAATTAATTCAAGATATCACTATAATTAGTTGTTTGTTGGCTAATCCGTTTATTGTAATTATTTTTATAATCTTTTGTAAGGATATCGAAAATTATCAGTTTTGTATTCGATTCATCAAGACACACAGCAATAACAAAACCTTGTTCTAATCAGTAAAATGAAAATGTGTCCTATTTATTTACTATAAAAAATGCTACTTTAATATGTAACAAAGAACTGCACCATTAATAAATTAAATGCAAAATTAATATTTAAAATTTAGTTAATAAAATCGCCGACGAGTATCACATATCATTTTTTTAGCACAAAAGCAAGTAAAAATCGCATTAGTATCATTGAACATTTAGATTGAAGTGTCTAATATACATTTGTCTTGGAATTTCGCTACTGTTAACATTATAATAAAATAAAAGTTTGTCAGCTTTAATTGCTCTCAATTTGCAACCTTTTCATACATTTTTTCTATATCAAAATTGATTTAATTGCATAAAGTTTTTAAGTTTATGACTTTTGTCACTGCATTTCATACACTGGCTTGACAAATTTACTTGAAAACATCAAAATATATCAAAGACTTATATTAATAATGTTTGCAGAGATGATAGAAACATCACTGTGAAGGTTGCTTTACTGTTTCTGCCTTGTGCTTTGTTGTAAAAAGGAACAGAAGTAATCTATTATTCTTTTATCAATCTCATGATTTTTTAACAAGTTGAGTACTATTCAAGCAGCTATGGAATGTTAAATAAGATACAGCTGAACATCTTCTGGAACATATCACTTTATAAATTCCATCTTGTATTGAATCTGTTCCGTTAAGCATTCTATCCACTTCTCATCGCTGGGTATAGCAATATTCAGGTTCTCTGATTCTATTGAATATATTCAATATATCCGATAATCTAGGTGTATTCAACGTTAATCTTGAGTTGAACGCCTTTACAAAGTTCTCCTAAAATGAGGCAGTGAAACTGAAACTAAAAGATAGAATAAGATTTACTTTGAACATCTATAATGTTGACGAACTAACGCACACATCTATATATTAGCTTATCTAATATACAGATTACTACAGATGTACAAAAACAAAAAGAAAAAAGATATTGAATCAGAGTTGTATAGTACATATTAAATTAAAAAGTTATATATTATACAAAAATATAAAGTATTAAATTATATGAATTTTAATTTAAAAATTTAAGATTTAAGTAATATGAAAACATTTTATATTGTTTTTAAAAAATTCTGATTTTTTTACAAGTATTCATAAAATGTTTTGTACGAAATTGCAAACTCTTACACTATTGTTGTTGCAAGGTTTTTTGTTTATTATGCAGCCACGTTTTGATTTGCGGCGATGTACGCCGAGCCAGAGAAATATATTTTTTTTTTACTTCTTGAATCTCTTTTAGAGACGGCAATGTATGATTTTCCATATGTTGTGCAAACGCAGAAAGCACTGCTTCTTTCTCATTTTCTGTCCATGGTACTCTTTTTGTTTTTCCATAAGGAGATGCTAGAGGAGTATAGGGAATATTGTTGAAATAATTTAACAAAACAAAATAAGTATACTATTTGTTATTGACTTTGACATAAGAATAATATGTTGAGTGCTATAATTATACATTCTTATTATATTCCATCTTCAACGATAATAAATTATTTAAATGTTAATACTATTTTATTTTACTTATTTACTTTTAATTTTGAATAGTAATTATAAATAGTTTTAGTATAAATATTGGAAAATGTTATCGGTCATGGAAACAAAACTAAGTTATGTATTTCGGTATAATAAAAAAGGAGCGACAAAAGATAATTATTTGCAGGCACTAATCAAATATGTAATGTTATATTAGAATATATAAATAAGTATCATTTTAAGAACGAATTAACATAATAATAAAGGAAACTGAATAGTATTGTAATTCGTACAGTTATGGATTGAAAGTAGATATGAAAATTACTTACTACTACGTTTCCGTTTTCCACCTTGTTCATCCGTTTGCTTGTCAGAATTTCTGGAATGATTTGATGTCTCACATAATGAAATATCTACAATAAACAGTAGTTATTAAAACATTTACAAAATTACAATATCATAATATCGTAATGCTCTTATTTTGTATTATATCATTACATATTAAAATAATATAAAAAGGAATACTTAGTATAAAAATAATAAGCACCAAAAAAACAAAACCAATTAATAATAATAAATAAACAGTGAAATAATTAATAATGAAAACAATAATGTAAATATAATGTAAATAATGTAAATCTTAATAATATAAACAATGTAGATATTAATGTTATAAATTCTACGTCTTACATAATTTAAGCAAATAACATTACTTATTTCGCCAGTATTATTGTTGTTAACGTCAATTATGTTATCTTCTATTTCAGAATCACTGTCCGATATCGATTCATTATTCGTATTTTGTGCATTTCCTTCCGATACTGCTTCTAAATAGCGGGAGATTTTCAGTATATCTCTGCTTGCTATTGGTTGCCTATAATGATCTCTATGTATTTTATCAGCATGACCCATAAATGTGGCAAGATCCGAAACATCAGTATCATTCAGATTAATTGAATGCAGTGTGTTGCTATATGTTTTCTTAATGTTGTACCGCGCAAAGTAGTTGATTGACTTGCGTTACATTGTTGGGCAAATTTACGCATTAAAACACAGGCCCTCAGGTATCGGTGTCTATTTTGTCGACAGCAGGTAGTCCAAAAATATAAGGGTTTTTCTTTAATACATTAGCCTCTTCACGATATTTTAAGATTAAAGTGATACAATCAAAGAGCTCATTCGGTAATAAAACAGGCACTGTGCGTCCTAGTTTTCCTCTGATGCAAAATCGGACATATTTCTCTGCAATTTTTCTATCTTCCATTGACAATGATTTATAAATATCACTGTACATATTTTTATTTACTTTTTCATAATTTTCAAAATCTTCTATTAATGCTCGCTCAATTTCTCCTGCTCGTCGTCTATTAAAGACATGTGTTGAAGTTAATGTTACTTCTGCTAAAGAAATCCACTTCTCATATGAAAAGGACTCATTTAATGCTGTATATGCTTCAGTTCTTATTTTCGCCAAATGTGGGTGTAATTTTTAATATCTTCCAATGACGGGAGATTTATTTTCTTGTGCTTTTATGTGCAGACTGCGTTTCGAGAACTGTTTGTGACACTCGTACCTATATCCACAACTAACAGTTTTAAAAAGTCTTTAACTAATTTTTCTTCTCTTCATCTTGAGTCTTGATGCATTCCATAATGAAAAGATTTCCTATATGCTTAATAAGTGTTGACAAGTTAGCCGCTACTGCAGGAGTTTTATAAAGTTGTTCTTCATTGTCATATCCTGCAACTACATTAATTGCTGAAATACAATCGTCATATATTTGTGGATGATACAGCGACTGAAAATCTTTTACATTCGTATTATATATCTTTTAATGCTATAAGAAAACGACCTAGTAGACGTAATCGTGCACGAATCATATCATGCTGATGTTGGGATTTGTATTTAACACACAACTTATTTGCATATATGATCAATAATTTGTCATATCTCACAATACGTGTTACTTCATCATCTCGCATAACAGGAAACACTGTTTTTCTTAAACACTCACTTGCTATTGAATGTATTCTACCAGTGATTTTTCTTCCCATAATCATAATATTTTTATTTTTCGAAAATCTTTTTTAAGACAAACTCGAGCATGATGACGTATTGTGTTTTTTGCGAAAAATCCTTTACATTTTACACAGGTAACAAAATCTTTAGCAGTCTTATTAGTTTTCTCATTTGGACGTCTGCATACATTAATTGACCAGTATTAAATTTTGGGTTGGTGTTAAATTTAAAATTACCCATTTTTCGAATAGTATCTATTATTTTTTTCCTTTCTGGGTTTCTTTTAGGCAGAATGGCAAATTTTTTACATTAGGCTCATTAGCATGTACTGTTTCCAAATGTCGTGCAAGCTGTGATTGCAACTTCATACAAAAAGCGCAATAATTTTGTTTCGATTTTATATTAGACTTTGAACATACATAACTTCATCGTTACATGCTGATGTACCAACAACATTTGTATTTGATGTATCAAAACTGGAAGTGGATGAAATAGTTCTGTTAACAATTGACACTTGCTTTTGAGGAGATTCGTTATTTAAAGAACTATGTTCTGAAGGTATATATTCTGAATCTTCATCATCACTTTCATTCTTATCATTATCTAGTATAAAAAAACAAAGAAATTATATAACTATGAACGAAGGACATAACTCACATATCATTGAAAAACTAAAGCACACAATATTTGCATGTCAATGTATATATTACCAAAGACAAAAAATAATGTTTGAAGTAGGTAATAGAGATAATAAAATTTATTTATTTTAATTTTATCTCAAATATAGAATTAATAAATCAAGAAAAGTAGGCCAAAAACTACGAGCCAAAGTAATTTAGATGTAAAAAAAATTAAACATAATTTATTTATAATAAAAAGTATACAGGGTTTGTCCGGAAAGTAATGCGTCGCATTTTTTGTGACGCGACTATACATCGCAGAGCGATGGGACCGGTTGGGGAGGAAGGGGGGGTACCCTTAGCTTTCCAACGGTAGGTCGCTCAATTGTTTCCATGCGCTTGGAGGGTTAGGACGGCTATTCTGTGAACCTCTGCTTAGTGGTCGCGTCGAACTTGTGATGGAGAGAACGATAGAGCAACGCTATGCGATAAAGTTTTGCGTGAAGCTGGACAAGACGCCGCTGGAAACTTTTGAAATGCTCAAGAAAGTTTTCGGGGACGATTGCCTTTCCAAATCGCAGTCAAACAGATGGCACAAGATGTTTAGAGAAGGTCGGAAGGAGGTCGCCGACGAGGCCCGCGCAGGACGCCGTCAACATCGCGAACGGACGACAATGTGACTCGTGTGCGCCAATTATTGAATTCAGACCGTCGAATGAATGTTCGCTTAATGTCGGAATTATTGTACTTGCCGAAAACGATTGTTCACGAGATTGTAACGGAAGACTTGGCCATGCGGAAGATTTGCGCAAAACNATTAAATTAAAAAATGTATATATAATATATATATAATATATAATCTATATTTAAGATATTTTTAAAAATCGTGTATATATAGATATAAATATAACAATATAATATTGGTTTTTTTAACAATTCTTTATTTTTATAAATTGTTAAAAAATGAATTTTTCAACAAACATTACTAATTAACATTTATAAAACTGTTTTTTTTCAATTCGCAATCATAATGATAAATTATAATATAATTTAAATTATATTACAGATTCTTTTAACAGAAAACTTTTAATATATATTTATAGCTGTAAATAATAAACAACTGCTAAATAACTGATAATAATAAACAAGCAGAAAAATTGCGCTTATATTTTAATACACTTCGCAACAAAATTAGGGTCACAAAATTAGAAAGAATCAAATTCAAATTCATGTATGTTTACAAAAAATGATCGTAGAGCAGTATATCAAAAAGCATTTTCAAGTATGAGACTCCAACTTTCTAATGCTCTAATGGAGATTTCCCTACAAAGATTTACTAAAAGATTTATTGCAAACGGCGCTATTCTACAATGAAAGCCTTACAAAATTGTAGAAAAAACTTTAACTTTGGCGTGCACGAGGAGAAAAGAATTCATTTTCTATCAATTTTATTAATTGTATTAAAATATAGCATTTCCCTTTCAAAATGCGTTTTTAAATATTACATTATGTGGATTGTGTTTCTCTGAGTTATGATATTTTGAAATGAATAGGCATTTTCAGGCTTATTTTCTAAAAAAAACCCTCGTATTTGTTGTCGATATTGGTATTACCCACAGGAAGATTACAAGGTTGGACTTACACTTCGTGTGTGTATGTGTGTGCAAGTGTGTGTGTGTGTGTGTGTGAGATGTATGTGTGTGGGGGGAAGGGTACGTGTGAATAAGTGTGGGATATGTGTGCGTGTATGGAATGTGTGAGTGTGTGTGGAGTGTGTAGAGTATGGGTGTGTAAGGTGTGTGTGGGGTACGTGTGAGCATGTGTGAGCTGTGTGTGAGCGTGTATGGGTGTGTGTGTGTGGCATGTTGTGTGTGGTGTGTGTGTGTGTGTGAGTGTGTGGGGGAGAAGGGTATATGTGAGCATGTGTGGGATGTGTGTGTGTATGGAATGTGTGAGTATGTGTGGAGTGTGTGTAGAGTATGGGTGTGTGTAAGCGTGTGTGGGGTACGTGTGAGCATGTGTGCGATGTGTGTGAACGTGTATGGGTGTGTGCGGGGTGTATATATGTGTGAAAAGTATGTGTACATAAGGAGGTGTATGTGTGAGAAGTGTGTGTGGGGGGGGGGGCATGTGTGTGTGTGTGTGTGTGTATGAGTGCGTATAGGGTATGTGTGATGTGCATGGTGTGTGCGGAGGTGTGTAATGTATAAGTGTGGATGTATAAATGTGTAGTATATATATATATATATAATTTATATGTGGGGGGAGGTGTTTTTAAGAATGTGTGTAAGTATGTATATAATGTGTGTGTCTGTCATACACATCCCACACACACATACTGACCTCATTCATATATATTCCATACACACTCACACATATCCGATACACACTTCACACACATACATTCCATACACACTCATACTTCATACACACTCACTCCATACACTCACACACATCCCATACACACATACTGATCTCATTTATACCCATTCCATACACACTCACTTTATACACTCACACATTCCACACACATACTGATCTCATTCATACACATTCCATACATACTCACACATATCTGATACACACTCCATACACAGTCACACTTCATATACACACTCACACACACCCCACACATGCACACACCATCACACTCATACATACCCCATACATACCTTATTCATATATACACATTCCACACACACACTCACACATACACATACACTCGCGCGCACCCTATACAAACACACATATCCTATACACATTCCACATACTCACACACACTCCACACACATTCACACACTTCATACACGCTCACACACATCCCACACATACTCACTCATACCCTTTCCACACACACACACACATCTTACACACATACACACACACACACACACATGTACACACACAAAGTGTAAGTCCAACCTTGTAACTTTCCTGTGGGTATTACCAATACCGACAACAAATATGAAGTTTTTTAAAAAGGCCTGAAAATGCTGTTTATTTCAAAACATCAAAACACAATTCGTAACGCAATGTTTATAAAAATGCATTTAAAAAAAAAATACTATATTTTAATACCATTAATAAAGTTGATAAAAAATTTGTTCTTTCCGTAATCGCCTATCAATGTTAAAGTTTTTTTTCTACAATTATATAAGGCTTATTTTAAAGTAGTTTATAGTAAAATCTGTGTAAAGAAATTCCGTTAAAAAATCTCCATTGAAAACTTTGAGTTTTCTAGTTTTAAAATGCTTTTAAATATCAGACTATGATAATTTTCTAATTTTGTTGCGAAGTGTAGTATTACACTTGTAATAATCGTTAATAACATAAATTAATTAAATTTAAATAAAAACATAAATTTATAATAATAATTATTATAAAATTAACTCTTACGATACACACGAGTATTCGCGACTTCATTTTGTGGTTTTAACACTATATATACATTAGTATAAAGTAAATTTTCTATAGACTTTTCATATAAAAACTATATAATTCTCACATCAATAAACTTTTCATCAATACACTCATCCAAATTATACTTTTGAGATTCATGTGTAATTCATTAATAATTTGTCGAAAATACATGAGTGTGTATCGTTAGAGTTTAATTTAAACAAAAATATATTAAATTTAATTTAAACAAAAATGTAAACATAATTCAAATTGCATGGAGAAAATACGGTTATACTTTTTGTAATTAAAAAAAAATTGAAACAAAATTGTTATTCAAAAGTATCAATAAATGATGCTTACTAAGTCTGCTAATTCTCTTAAAAGAAATATTTAATTCAAGTAATGACGTTATATATATATATATATATATATATATATATATAAGAACTCATAATGAAAAGAAACAGTGCAGACTATATGAATTTAGAACACAAAAATCTAAAAACTTAAGTATTAATTATTCAATAAAAAAAATTAGGAAAAGAAAAATATTTTTGTTATATTAATAGACTCTAGCCACTATAGAAAAAAATTATAATGAAAATAAATCATAAGCATCTGAAACATTTAAATGACTTGCGGATTTATTTCTTCGAAATCTTTTTGTCTGCTAAGCCTCTGACCACCTTGGCGAAACCATTCTTTTGTGACCTCTTCAAATTCTTTGTTTGTGAATTGATGTTGACCGGAAATTGTTGCTGAAATATTACAATACATTAAATTAAATTTTATTTTATAAACTTGTTTATAAAAATAAATATAAAAATATATTTTACCTAGTATTCCCATTAATATATACTTTAAGCTACTAATTTTAAAATGATTTCGCAATCCTTTCCAAGATGATTCTTTGGCAACTTCATTGGAAAATAAAGTTCGGTATATGCGAATTAAATTTTCCTTGGCGGACCTTCCGCCTATGCGAGATATATACAGCATCTTTAGAAATAAAACATACCGATAATACAGTTTCTATTGTTCTATTTAGATGAAATTTGCATTTAAATAAGCTAAATTAAACTTACAAATTTGTTGTACTCATCTACATTTTCTGATAAACGGTTTTCAAAAGCTGTTACTTCATTTATATTTTTAAATGGAAAAAATTGATGTATATTTGATGTATCCGTGACAGATGCTTTGGATTTATGTTGATTATTTTGTTTTTCTATATTTGTTAAATGAACATTTAGATCTTGTATTCCTAATGTAACTGTAGTTATAGCTGTATATATATTTTTAAAATGACCTGAAAAATTAATAGTATTGAATAAACAGTGCCAAAAATAGATATAAAGTATATTATAAGACAATAAGATTATAAGACAAAAATAAATACAATACCTTCCATTTTTTCGAATCCATCTGATATTAACGTATGTACATCCTGTATACCTAAAAATTAACATTAAAGAAATATTAGATTATTCACATAATAAACAATAATAACTGTAATAACTGTAATGAAAAAAACTTATATTATGAAAATAATATAAGTAAATTGAATTAAAGAATTTTAAAATAAAAATTACTTTTAAGTGGTACTAAAGTTCCATCAAGAATCTCCAGGTCAATATCATTGCTGACAACTGATGAATTAATAACAGTTGCGATAGATTGACTTTTGTTAACTGATTGCGAGGCATTTGTATTTACAGTAAGATTTGGTGGATTTGGTATAACTAAACGTGAGTCATCAGAATCAGATTCAGACTCATTGTGAGAAACAGTTTTATTCAACTGTCTTGTGCGTGACTTCTTTATTTCATTTATATTGCTTTCCTCACTTGAAGAATAGTTCGTTGCTCTCTGTCTAGCTTCCTCTAATGAATCTAAATTGAGACAAAATCGTATTTAGAAATTACATTATTTTTTAAAAATATTAAAAAAACAATTACATAAATTCTAAAATAAAATATAACTTACCATAATATCCATGAAATTTAATGGGATAAGATTCCCATTTAGGATCATTAATAACAGGTGGAATTTGTTTTATAATAAAGGTATTTACATTTTTTACCAATGGCCACCAGCATTCTTTTAAATTGAAAGAAAGCCATAAAGATGGAACTTCTGATACAATTTCTTCTTCATTATTTCCATCGCTTGGAAAAGTAACGACAGCGAAATTTTTCGCCATTATTAATAATCTGTTAAAAAAGTAAAATTTGTTAAGTAATTTAATATTTAATATTGTTTTCAATTATAGATTATATCAATATATAAGTACTCGCCATTAACATATTTCTTGTTGGTGTAGTAAAGGCAATACTACAGCTTCTTCGTCACATAAAGGCAATTTTACGCATTTTAATTTAATATCAAACAATGGAATAGTAATTAACTCATATTGTAACTCGTTAATTTGTTTAATACCGATATTGAAAGAGTCGCATGGAATGTGGAAAAATGATTTAATATTCAAATACTTTTTAGCAGTAACATAAATCTGTTTATTTTTAAAATAAATTTTCGTAAGCGAAACCGTTGTACCATCTAATAAAGAACAACAATTATCAGCAGTTCTTGTACTAAGATAGAAACCCTTGCATTGAACCGATTTTATTATCTTTCTGCCATTTATAATACGTACTTTTGATATTGGATAAATCTTTTCTACATTTGTTATATCCAAATTATCTTCTTCTATACAACGATTGGCTAATTGTTCTAATGGTTGACTTGAAGATCTTATCTTTGATTTAATTTTTTGCATGTAATTTTCGAACTTAAACGCGCTAAATTCATCTAACACTCCCCATAATTTTACATAATAACACAGATGAATTAAATTATGAACGTTATATGATATATATTGACAACCATATAATGTGCCATAATTTTCAACAAAATACAATAGTAAATTGTGTGCATAATCAAGCAGTTGTACGCAATATTTTTTGCTACATAAAATTCGAATTGCTATACTTAGACTCAAAAAATGAACATATTTATCGCGTGGTAATTTTTTCAAAAAAATTACTGGCCCAGTATATAATAATAATTGTCTTAATTCGGTGGCTTTAAAGCGATCGACCTCATCTAATTTCCTTGGTTTTCTAGCAAATTCTTTGGGTAAGAATGATGACATAGATAATAAAGAAGTTGAAGCAAGAGTTATCTGAGTTGCAACCATACGAACATTATGTTTGCCTTTAATCCAAAACTGCAATAATCTTTTCATTATTCCTAATAGTACGAGATGCATGTAGTCTAAAGGAAATTGAGTAACCATTCCAATGTTTAAGTCTTCAAGATTTGAAGTCATTTTATGGTGTTCTTCTTGTTGTTTTAATTTAAATGATTCATCTGACCTTAATATTGCATTAATTTCTGGGTACGTTACTCGATTTTCTACGTAATCTCCCTCTTGAATACAATTACCGCATCCAAAATACGCATTATGTCCTCTAGTTCCCTTGATAAATGATTTTGCAGGAGCATCGCAGATAAATGCATTCAATTTTACAGTTATTTTTTTGCCATACTGTACAATACCAGTTCGAAAAATTTCAAGACAATCATCCTTGAAATATTTCAGAAAAGTATTGCAACATTTTGGCTTTTGAAAACCATGATAAACACCAATTATAAACGGTTCAGTGTAAAAATCTGCAACTATACTACCTAAAATAGGCCAAAATTGACTGCCAGAAGATTTTGTTAAAGGAAGACCATCTATATTCACATTAATATTTATTTGAGATGGTAAATTACTTTGACAATAATGCTTACGAATAGATTTTCTTAAACTATCACTTAAACCTGCATGATAATATTTGCCTGGTGTCATTTCAATAATGTCTACTTGCTTGGGAGTTTGGAACAGAGTTCGAGCATCAAGAGGAAGATTATGGCCATATTTTACTAGAATTTTCAGTAAACTACTAGTAGCAGAATGACTGACATGATTTTCAATAGCCCATAATCGGATGTCGTTAATAATATCTGTTTTATTAGAAAATTCATCACTTGAAATACTTGAATGAGAACTATTATTATCAGTACCAATTCTCAAATGTTTGAAAATTAAATCATCTTCATTTTCAGTAATCTTGTGAGTATGCATTACATTGGAATAATTAAAATTAATTTCCTTTAGTACATTTTGTTGTTGAGGTAATTGTTCGATATTTTCTGGTCCATTTGATCCACTTATATTATTTTGAACTTCCAAATTTGATTCAATATTCATTTGGCAAATATTATTGAATTTTTTTAAAAAATACGTCGCCGCTGCCTTGGCGTTAAAGAAGTAATGTCTAGTCGTAATTTTGACTTGGACATGATATAATCTTATAAAGAAACAGAAAAGCTAAATTGCGATTATATGTACGAAGATAGATTATTGGATATGCCTTATACGTCGCCTTTATTGCTTATGTTATATTCTCCTTTATCAGTGAGATTGTATATAGGAAGCTTATCTGGACAATAAAAATATTTTGATAAATAAAAAATATTTTTAAAGTGGACTTTTGCAGGTTTTCTTTCATACAAACTAATCCAATAATAAAAATATAATTTACGTAATATTTAACGGATACTAATAGAAAATAGAAAAAAATGTAATTCACATTCCTTAAGTATTTCATTTATATCAAAAAATTTAATGCTAACAATAGTGAAATAATCTAGAAATCTGATATAATACTCTAATAATCTAAAATAATATTTTAAATACATTTTTCATTTCGGTAAAAATTTTTTATATACAATCATATATATAAATTGATTATATATATAATTGTATAAAACTAAAAACTACATATGAAATCTGTCCATATATTAGATTTAATTATATCCCATATAACATAAAAAGATTGCAGACATAATTAAAATGTTAGTGACGCAATTTACATATTGTAAAATGATCTTATATAAAATTATAGATTATATATCATATATAAGACTATATTATGTAAATTGCATCACTGTAACATTTTAATTATGTCTGCAATCTTTCTGTGTTATATGGAATTATATATTTAATTATATGTAATTATATATGGACAGATTTCATATATAGTATTTTACAGGGTTGGAAAAGTTACTTTGTAAAAATAACTAGTTACAGTTACAGTTATCTTATTGAAACAGTAACTAGTTACAGTTACAAGTTATCAATTTTAAAAAATAACTCGTTACAGTTACAGTTAATTAAAAAGTAACGAGTCGTAACTTTTCAATTACTTTTTAAAAATAATTATACATTATTTTAAATATAAGGAGCTTACATATTATGCACAACTACAGTCAAGTATTTAAAAAAATTCTTGAATGTAATATTGATCGATTTGCTTGCGACTTTGCGATTACCATCAATGTATGAATGACCTTTATATACAACAGTAAAAATAGTTATATATGGTAACTTACTAAATTGTAATCGCAAAGTCGCAAGCAAATCGATTAATTATTACATTTAAGAATTTTTTTAAATACTTGACTGTGATTGGTCGATTGTAATTATGTGTTGTATTATTTTATGTACACAAAATAAAAATTTTAGGTAAAAAATTAAATTATATATGAAGATCTATATATATATACATATATATATATATGCTACTGTTATCAAAATTTAATTTAACAATATAACGGCTACCATACTTAAACGATACTTTTAGCGAATGTTTCCAAAAAAAGTAATTAATAAAGTAACTGTTAAAATAGTTACTAGTTACTAAAAAAATGTAACTAAGTTACAGTTACAGTTACAGATGGAGAAAAGTAACGAAGTTAAGTTACAGTTACCGAAAAAAAGTAACTGTAACTGTAACTTCGTTACAAGTAACTCGTTACTTTCCAACCCTGGTATTTTATAATTATATATACACATTTACATATACATATATATACATCAGTGATGAGTAAGATACATTTAAAATGTATCTCGATATAGATACAGATACGTGTAAACAAATATATCTAGATACAGATACAGATACACAAATCAAAATGTATATTGATACAGATACTCAGATACTTTAAAAGTATCCGATACATATCAGATACTTTTAAATTATATTTTATCATAATAATGGTAATATGCATAAAATGTACTGTATAATTATTTGATTTTTATTAATATTTTTGTTTATATTGCGACTTTTTATTCGTTAGAATTAACACGTGAAAAATGCCACAAAGATATCATCACTCAAACTATTTCGCCATGGTACTAAAAGACCAATATATTTATACTGGAAATGTTTAAGCCTCTGATAATTCAAAAAGGCAATGCAAATAAGATTACTGTTTTTCTCATTATATGCTCGTGCAAAAAATGATGCGAAAGATATGGGAAATATGAGGTTAAAATAAAATGAATCGTACTCACCAAATATGAAAATTATGAAGTGGTAAAATGAGGTGTGTTCACCAAATATCTGTATTTATATGCAGTCGTGTGTTACGTAAGACCTTGTGTGCACGCCGTTGTATATCCTTATCACGAGCAATGATACTGTATATATGGAAAACTTATCTGTAAAATAAAAGATATTTTGATAAATAAGATATTTTTAACAAGTGAGACATGTACAGTTTTTTTTTCAATCTAAATAAATCCATTGATTAAAACAAATAAAATATAATTTGAATATTTAAAAAAACATTAATAGAAAATATTGGTCTATAATTTTTTTATAATGATTGTAATGGTAATTTCAATGATAAATAATATCAAATAGCTAATTTTGTTGACCAGGAAACCATTGCATTAGAAAAACTGTAGATATAATATTTTTTCCAAATATTTCACATATGTTAAAAATTTATTATTGAATTTTCTTATAGTATAGCTCAATTGCAAATAAAAGAAAATCTTTATAATTAATAAATATTTTCTACACATGAGTCTTAATTTTTTAATTTAGTGTTATTTGATTTGAATTAATTTTGTGCGAACCAAATTTTATTCAAGTAAAATATTGAAATAAACATGATAGCTTTAACTATTGAAATTCATTGTATAATGAAGTTGTAGATCTTGAAAAAGTGTTAATATTATATGTAGTATGCTTATACTGCATATAATATTAACACTTTTTCAAGATCTACATCTTCATTATACAATGAATTACAATAGTTAAAGCTATCATGTTTATTTCAATATTTTACTTGAATAAAATTTGGTTCGCACAAAATTAATTCAAATCAAATAACACTAAATTAAAAAATTAAGACTCATGTGTAGAAAATATTTATTAATCATAAAGATTTTCTTTGATTTGTAATTGAGCTATACTATGAGAAAATTCAATAATAAATTGTATAACATATGTGAAATATTCCAAAAAAATATATGTATATATCTACAGTTTTTTCTAATGCAAATAATTACTTGCTCAACAATATTAGCTATTTAATCATTAATATCATTTTTCATTAGATTAATTACCATTATGATATCATTATAAGAAAAATGGTAGACCGTCATTTAGTTTTAGTGCAATGCAAAATATAATAAAAAAATCTATAATTATTATGAGGTAATAAAATCCGATCTTTACACTCGAAATATTTAACCTTCTAATGATTGGAAAAAGCAGTGCGAATAATATGTTATTTTTCTCATTATACATATATGCTCGTGCAAGAATCATGCGAAAAGATGGGAAATATGATATTGAATAAAATGAATTGTACTCACCACAAACATAAGAAGAATGAGGCACGAGGTGTATATCTTATGTCGCCGGTGCCGGTATGTCCTTTGTTATAGCCACGCAGCTTTCACGTGATTCTTCCGTGGTGTGTCTGGTTTCTATACAGAAATTCAGTCTTTAGAATTAATATTTTAACATAACGCAATCATTATCAGTTATTAGTATTTAATATGTTAAATTATTTCTTATCTTATACTTACCAAAATCTTTACACTGTTCTTACTTTCGAGACGACATTCAAGCATGTATGACTACCGTATTCGTACATGCTGCCATATTGAAAGTAAAGCGCGAACTGCGCGGGACACTTTTTGCGATTGCGCACTTGCACACACTTAAGCCAATCATGGCAAACTTAATCAGAAGGCCGAGTTCACATAAACTTATAAAGACGCATAATGCAGATAAAATCTAATTTGCTAATTACGCGTTTTAAAAAACAAAGAACATAAATAATTTCAAAAAAATACATTTATGTAATAATTACATAATGTTTTATATGTATATATTACAGATCATCAAAACGAAACTATGACGTTTCGTTTATGTCAATAACGTAATAAAGCTATAATTGTTACATAGAATTGTTATGTAATTTTGACGTTATTTTGGTATGTAACATTTATGTATTTTGGTGGATATAAATGTGTATACTCGAAATGTTTCGAAAATACTACGTAATTTAATGATATAATTGCAACGTTATGTTAAATTCGTCATGTTTACGTATATATATTGGTGAATGTAAATGTGTATCTTCTAAAAACTTAATAAATACTATACGTAACTCTAATGACATAATTGTAACGTTATTTTAAATAAGTAATAACATTATTTTGTTGACACCAATGCGTATACATATCTGTAAAAACCGTGTAATTGTTGCAATATAATAACAAAATTATGATATCACATTAAATATAAAAATAAATATGTAACTTTGTTGATGTCTGAGCGTTCGAAATAAAATATCATTGAAAAAACGTATCTATATAGAATACATTTTTGAACATTTTCTTGATGTGTATTAATTACTTCCGACATTTATAATTTTATATTAACATTATTAAGTACTTTATAAAAAAATGAACTCGAAATATTTGATTATGTATATACACATATATATAATAATTATATTAAATTCCATTTTTTCACAAAGTATTTAATGACGTTAATAAATAATATTGAAAGTAATTATACATATATTAAGAAAATATTCAAAGATGTATTGCCAGATACTTTTTTCATTGATATATGCATGCCCTTTTTTCAGAACGCTCAAAGATGTCAACAAAGTTACATACATTTTTATATTTAATGTGATATCGCAAATTTCGTTATGTATAACGGTTATAAAGTTTTTACTGAATATATACATTAATGTCGATAAAAAAATGTCAATGTTACATATTTAAACTAATGTTACAATTATGTCGTTACAGTTGTATAGCATTTATAAAATTTTTAGAGATATACATTTACATTCACCAAAATACATGAATTACGTATTTAGCATAACGTTACAATTACGTAATTAGAGTTATGTCGTATTTATAAAGTTTTTAGAGTATACACATTTACATTCACCAAAATACATAAATGTTATGTATTTAACATAACGTTACAATTATGTCATTAAAATTACGTAGTATATACAAAAATTTTAGAGTATGTGCATTTACATTTATCAAAATACATAAATATTACGTATTTAATATAACATTACAATTATGTCATTAAAATTACGTAGCATTTACGAAAATTTTAGAGTATGCACATTTACATTTATCAAACTACATAAATATTACGTATTTAACATAACGTTACTATTACGTAATTAGAGTTATGTTGTATTTATGAAACTTTTAGAGTATACACATTTACATTCACCAAAATACATAAATGTTACGTATTTAACATAACGTTACAATTATATCATTAAAATTACGTAGCATTTACGAAAATTTTAGAGTATGCACATTTACATTCACAAAGAAACATAAATGTTACGTATTTAACATAACGTTACAATTATGTCATTAAAATTACGTAGCATTTACGAAACTTTTAGAGAATGCACATTTACATTCACCAAAATACATAAATGTTACGTATTTAACATAACGTTACAATTATATCATTAAAATTACGTAGCATTTACGAAAATTTTAGAGTATGCACATTTACATTCACAAAGAAACTTAAATGTTACGTATTTAACATAACGTTACAATTATGTCATCAAAATTACGTAGCATTTACGAAACTTTTAGAGAATGCATATTTACATTCACCAAATTTCATAAATGTTACATAACAAAGTAACGTTAAAATTATATAACAATTCTATGTAACAATTATAGATTCATTACGTTATTGACATAAACGATACGTCACAGTTTCGTTATGATGATCTGTAATATATACATATAAAACATTATGTAATTATTACGTAAATGATCCCTGAGTGTTTACTGGGGAAGTACGATTCGAAAAGCCACTTACCGAAACAATTAACTGCATTGTTTACGGCGAATTTGATAATGTAATTGAAATCGACTCGTCGCATCAAGTCATCATCGATTTTTTCGGTTAAAATTTTTTTCGCCGCATTTACGACTCTCACGTCACAATGTGTAGCCTATTCCAAACTTTTCTGTATTTTTTTTTACTTCTTCCCTTCTCTTCCACTTCCAATCTTACGGTATTACGAAAAGAAATAGGCAGTTTCCTTCGAGACACGCGCGTTCGTGAAAAGCTTAAACCTCGCCTACAAAAAGTGTAGAAATTTTTCATCACAACATGGATATAGTCATCGACATATAAGGCTTCCGCGATGCGGACGAGAAGTTTCTACCTAAGGACATCACGGTTGTCGCGATTGACGCAGCGATCGTCGACCATTGGATTATAACGGCTCCGTATCCGTTTGGAGCATTATCTAAAAAAGTAAGACGGCAAAACACATGGCTAACGCGAAATCACCACGGCATCGAATGGTTCGACGGCGAAGCTAATTTAAAATATTTTACGTTGCGTTTACGAGAAATTATAAGATACTCGAGGCACATATACGTCAGAGGCAGCAAAAAAGCATATTACTTACGGAATCTACTTTCCAGAGAGATATATAATTTAGAAAATATCTCTCCAGCATTCAAAAATCTAACGGCGGAGGTAGAGTACGGACAATATTGCACGCATCACGGGTTTAGAAACATTTTTCATTGTGCATTACATAACGCTTACAAATTAAAGCGCTGGCTAGTGGAGCAAAATAATAGCGGCAGCAGTGATATTCTCAGTGTTAGCCAACCCACTAGTTGTAGTTTTCTCGAAAATTTTTAATTGAGCAGTGACGACGACAACGACGACAGCGGATACGTAAGCGAGAAAACCTGCTACGGTAAAAATTACTTTGTTAGCAGCGTAAATGATAACCCTGTTCTAACTCATAATATAAAAACTCGACCGGATAGTATAACAGAAACAAAAGATTTGTCAAGCGTCGAGCAGTCAATTGAGAAAAAAAAAAGAAGAAGAAGAAGAAGAAGAAAGATTTACGGAGCGCAAATCGTCGTCGTGCAGAAACGTTACAGCGGGAGAAGTAAAAACTAAAGTTATTCAAATAATACCAGGGTCCGTGCGTTCATCTTCGCGTCAAAAAAATGAACACTTGCGAAATTCTACGGGCATTGCTTCATATCGATATCAAGCATGCGGGAGTTTATTCCGCCGACAGAGTTCCGAGGGTGTGGACGAGGTCGACGGTTATCGTCGCTAATACAGACGATCATAATAGACCTGGTGAACACTGGGTCGCCTTCTTCCTCGACGAACATGGAACAGGCACCTACTTTGATAGCTACGGACTACCTCCTCTGGAACCAGGATTTCTCCTTCGACTTCGACGAAACTCCGTCATCCATTGATGAAATACCCGTCAACTACAAGGTCTTTTTTCACAAACTTGCGGACATTATAGCTGTGTATTTCTTTACTTTATGTCTATCGGATACGATCTTAATCAATTTCTTACTCTTTTTACCGAAAATTGTACACGCAACGACAGATTAATCGTACATTTATTTCAAAAAATTTTTTTTCCGCTAAAATAAAAACGTAATTTTTAATTCTAATATTATATTCAATTCAATAATTTTTTAATAACATATTTCTATGTAACGCTTTTAACTTTTATGTAACATCCAGAATTAGTAATAATAATAAACTTTGTGTAAAACTTTTTACTTAATATTTTATATTTTATATTTTTCCTATATTCTTTATCCTTTACCTCATAGCAAAATAAAAATTCGATCTCTTTTACTTCAAATTGTTCAATATATTTTTTTCTCTATCCTGTCCCTGTATATCGGAAATAATTTTATTTTTTTTTTTCAACACTCGATATCGCGTATACAGCAAGCGAAATCGCGGTCAGACGTTAGAAGATGCGTTTGTAATTTTTGTATATCTTGTTTTCTTTGTTTCCTTTGTTACGCCTAGTAAGCTATCCGTGCGAGTCTGTATTTTTTTTTTTGCTAATTTTTTTCATCGCTGTCACTCCGACGATCCTTCCTCTCTTCTTCGCGTAAGAGAGTTCGAAGAGCGAGCTGCATAGTCGCCCTCCACGTGGCCTCGGTATACCACGACTCGCCATTTTGTCAGCTTTTTCCAAAACCCACCTACGCTCCCTCTACCCTTCCAAAATAAAAATCACCTAATCAGAGTGCCGACAAGTATAGGTAGAGTCTATCAGATGCCGAAGACTAATGCCCCCGATTAAAAATAGACCAATCTCCGATCGAAAAATTCTGTCTAGCCACACCCCCTCAGACGTCAGGACCACGTGTCCGGACTGAGTTTTGACACCTGTAATTGGGTCACCGACCTTCACAACAGGTGCCATTGTCTGGCACACCATAAAAAACCGTCTGGCACAGCAGAGGTCACCATAAAAAACCGTCTGGCACTGCAGGGGATCGGCCGAGGAGTGGGGGTTTGTTTTGACGGCCTATAGTGGCCCATATACTACTTTCAAATCCTACTGATGAAATGTATACACGTTCACCAAATATATCTTCAGTAAAATCATATTTTAAAAAGGCCTCCAAAGTCACTACAATTATTGAAATTAAAACTTATTATTTATAGTATATTAATCAAAATATAAAATATTTTACAATTTTTTGATTTAAATTTTTGAAAATATAAAATATAATATAAAAAAACAAGTTCAAAATAAATTATAAAATGTTTATATTTAGAAGAAATAAAAAATAAGTTTTAAAAATAGGAAAAAAAATTAAAAATAATGAAAGAAATTTAAATTATGAAAAAATCTTAAAATTATATAAAT